GTGTGTGAAGCCTGTACGGTCCGTCAATACCTACAGCGAGAACTTGTCAAAGTTGATGATGTTATTTTGTTAATGTTGGAACGAGTCCGGCTCCTAGACATCATCTCGTCTTGGGCAAAGGGAACTCACGTCACCTACAAATCTAAGCTGAAGGTCATTCATGATTTCGAAAAGGAGTTTGCTCTCACAGTTCTTCGCCCATCCAATCTCATGGAGCCTCCATCTGGACCAGATATCTCTCTGATGTGGTGCCAAGAGTGGTACAGTCTTCGTCACTCCACAAGGAAATACGACAAAGATGTTCAAACACCCATCAGTTTCAACTCTGTGCGCGCTCTGCGTTCAGCGGCATCCCAATGGTTTGCCCTTGAGTCGCTCAATACGCCGCAGAACGCCTACATGTCACAAGACAAGAAGGTTCTCTACCAAGATTGCCGGCCGACAGACAACCTTACATTTCATCTCTTTGCGAAGGGAATGGTGACACGAATGGGCGACTACTCTCGGCCATCAGTAGCCTTGTTGGACCGCCATATTCGTTACTTGATGAACTCGTTGGAAAACCACTTTGCAGAAGCAACGACAGAGACACAAAAGCGCGACATCTCGCTTGCCGGCCTAGCAACTCTCACTCTCTGGCTCGGGTGGCTCCGCTCTGCTGAGTGTTTTGGTATCAATTGGGAAGATTGTTCCATTCTGGAACATGAAGACTATGCACAAGCTGACCTCCCACGTAACTGTGGTATGGTCACTTTCCGACTCAACCCTGTCACTAAGTCGGAGCGCACTCGAACTGCTGATGTTATCATCGCATACACTACTCGATCAGGCTACTGTATCGGGAAGTGGTTCCACAGAGCGCAAACGTACCGGGCCCGACGTACAGGGCCCGTTTTCTGCCATGCCAATGGCACAGTTTGGACCTCTCATTTCTTCCGGACTACCTATCTCTATCCAAGTCTCAAAAAGCAGCGTTTGGAGGGCGACCCGCTTCTATTGCCTTTCGATGGATCCATATCCAACACCATTGAAAGCCGATTCTGGTCTCTCCACACATTCCGTCGCGGTGGCCGCAGTCACGTCTCCCGCGGCGAATCCTACGCTGGTAAACGCCTCACGATTGCCTCGGAAACCCAGGTCTACGAACATGGGCGTTGGCGCTATCGCCGAGCCAACGAAAAAGTCGGAACAAGTTACCGTGAATGGACGCCTCGTGAACGAGTCAAGATTACTTTGTACTGTCATTAACGACAGCTGCCGGGGGGGAAGGAGAACAGTTTGGAGTCATTCACAAGAGAATAGGCAGAGGGGGAAAGAAAAGGACGCAGGACTTTACATCTTGCGGAGACTTCAAGTTCGAAAACGCATTGAGTACCTACTCAAAGAGTTTAAGACTTGAGTCTCGCCCCGATCCGAACCCGGAAGCCTGCGTGGGCTAGGACAATATCTAGCCACCAATTATGAAACGACATGAACGACTCTTAACCTGAACTCTACCCAACCGACCGTATAGAAAGGTTTTGAAAGAAATGAAGAAGAAGAATTCCTTATTCCGGCGGCCCGAGGAATGCGAGGACCGCCGCACGTAAGAAGCTACGAGACTGGATGTGCCAGCGAGAAATGACCGAATTGAGTGGCTTGAGCTCCACTAAAAGGCACACAAATCAGTCCAACTTGGAACTTGAGCAAAACACATCCAGACTCCAGCAATAGGTAGAAAATTTTTAACTCCCACCCACCCGCCCAGGGGAAAGAAAAGGACGCAGGACTTTACATCTTGCGGAGACTTCAAGTTCGAAAACGCATTGAGTACCTACTCAAAGAGTTTAAGACTTGAGTCTCGCCCCGATCCGAACCCGGAAGCCTGCGTGGGCTAGGACAATATCTAGCCACCAATTATGAAACGACATGAACGACTCTTAACCTATCGAAATTCGAAGGCAAAAAGTATTTTTTTAAAAATGTTAATACCAGTATTAGTCTTGCACCATATTATCTCTTCCGACATGCTCTGCTCTCATTTTCTAACTTGTTCGAAGGAAAAAATTGGGTTGAGATACAGAGTTTCGTCATTCGGGCTAAAATTGGTCATTTACATATTGAGAAGTCTGGAAGTGTCTGTGTGTCTGTCAGTGTTCTTGTCGAAGCAAGAGTCGAAGCAAGGATAGTCGAAGCATGATGATGATGGATCGATGGAATGACTGATTCGATCCAGACATACAGTATGTTTGAAAGAAATTATGCTCCCATAGTTCAGACAATTGACATCCTTTGACAAGAAACAGTTGCTCAGAGCTGGTAGGTTCATTTGTTTTGGTGTTAGCGTATACAATGGGATCGTTTGCTTTTCAAATGAACTCATGCTGACGGCTGTCCTCATAGATATGTCGCATAGCGCCACTAGTTTCTAAACTGACGAATGAACAAAGCAATCAAACGATCCTTTCGAGGAAGGCGGACGAGTAAAGTGCCAGCCACGGTAGAATGCAACGCAGATAATGGAATAAGATACTACTCAAGGCGGTTTTCGAACACGATTCACTCCAAAGATGTAAGTGTCCGGAGCGCATTCAGTAGTGTGCTTATGAATCATTCATCTAATCCATGAAAACACCGAAGCTTCCAATGGAATTGGATGCAGTCGGCCTGTGGTCACCTTGGACGCTTTTATGGTTTTGCCTATTTTCTGTAGCGCCATTGGCGCATATGTATATCCTGTTGATGCTTCTGCGTGATTTGTGTGTGTCGTTTCCGGAATCCATCTATGTGCCGTTGCAACTATATGTCCCGTTTTTGGCGCGCTTGGCAGACAGAATGAAAGGAGCTTCTTGGATTGTAGACTTTTGGTGTGTAATTGAGGCCCTCTTCTTCATTGCCTTCAAATTAAAGTACCGTTATCTCCAATCCAGAGATCCACTTGAAGCATCCCTGTCAGCTGCCCCAATGTATGATCCTGAAGACAGAAAAATCTTATGGGATCGGATCATCGAACTCGAAAAGGACGATTTGGGAGCATTTATCTCGGGGTGGTTCTTTGATGAGTCTATCGAAAATATTTCGCGATACGATGTCTGTGACTTCTTGTGCTGGTGCATGTTTGATGGACGAAATCAGGAACACTTGACATCGTTAGAGTACCATGAACTTGAATCCCTTGTGGAAGATATTGAGTATCGAATTAGCATTCAACTCTATGGGGCACAGACTGAGGTTGAAAATAAGGAGGTTGACGATGGTGAAAGTGCTAGCACTGATCGTTTTGAAAAGTCAAGGAAAGAACCTCGAATCCTATCTCCTCGACGTTGGCGCATGCACAGCGAAGATGCGCTAACGACGAATTCCGAGACATCTAGCTACTCTACAACCTTATACTCACTTCCGAAAAAGAGTAAGTGTAGTTTCCATCTCGATTATGTGGAATTCTTAGCGCCGCTTCTCAACCTGTTTTCAAAGATTTTCGTTTCCAAGTTGACATTCACAGAGAGGAGCCAACCTTTTTCTCAAATCTTTACGAGTCTTACAAGCAACGATATGAACAGTACAGAAGTCTAGTCGAAAATTCTGATTTTCATCCGGTAAAAGATTTCCGGACATACCTCAATGATAGAGCTCAACAAGCCGACGAGTCTGCAAGAGCTACGGCCCATAACATGTATGAAAGAATCATTCAATCTGGATCACAAGTCGATAAACAGATTGCCGCTTTGAGCCATGCGACATCGACTCAGCTTGCTGAAGCCTGGAATTCTGTAAAGGGGATGAAAGAAAGACTGGAAACAGCGAATTTCTTGTCTCAGAAAAGGGAGGCTTTGATGCAGCAACTCCGCGGTAACAGAGCAATGTTAGACAGAATGCGGGAAATGCCATATGCGGTCCCATCGAAGCAAATGGCTGCGCTCATGCGAAAGATTACTGAAGTATATGATTCTCTAGACAGAGTAGAACACCTTGCAAGAGATGGGTTCGCATCAGCAACGGGGGCATTGGCGGCTGGGAAGCCAATTTTTACAAACAGAGAACCACAGCGCTATGCAAAATATTCGTTTGATCCTCTGCTGAGCGTGAAGACGTTCCCTCTTGGGTTTCACTTGCTCGTCCTGGGGTTGACAGAGATTCCAATGCGTGTGATGCTCGGGAATAGAGGATTCGAAAAGCGTTTCATCGGTCCATTGGGCTACTACTTCCATCCTGGTGACGTGAAATCCCAATCTTTGAAGGAGGGGGGTGATAAGGTTCCGATCGTATTTGTGCATGGCATAGGTATCGGTCTTCTCCCATACGTTAAGCTGGTCGATTGTTTTCTCAAGTCTGGAAGACCAATATTCCTTCCCGAAATTCCTTATGTTAGTGGATTTCGACCATGGCTTAGTTCTACATCTGTGTTGACTCCAACTGTTGTTGCTAGTACCGTAAGTTGCATCCCCCAACACAAGTCGCCTTGATTGAAGTCTTCTAACCCTTTTGAACTCTAAACAACACCAGTTGACTGCTATGCTCGCGACACATGGCTATGCAAGTGGAGTTTTTGTCGGCCACTCTTATGGAACGTCATGGTTGAGTTATGCATGCAAATATGCTACAAATGCTGTTGCCGCTATTCTTTTCTTGGACCCGATATGCTTCTGCTTGCACACGCCTAGACTGACTAAGAATTTCGTTTATCATACTCCTGATCCTGGTACAATTACCTACATGGTTCGAACAGATATGATGGTTAATTGGACAATTCAGGTGAGGAGGGGACTGGCGGATCTTACAATTTCATCCGTGCAACACACCACTCATTCGTATTCACTGCATTATTTCTTCTAGCGAGCTTTCCCATGGATATGGATTACCTTGTTTATTGAACAAATCCAGGTTCCTTGTACTGTCTTTCTCAGCGATAAGGATGCCCTCGTCCCTGCTGAACGAATGGAGAATTATTTCAAGTCGAAAGGAGTACCAATATGCGATGCTGGATCAGTAGACAGAGGGTTTTTCGACACTAGCGGTGACTTTAACGCCTGCATCTTTCGGGGGAGTGTCCACGGAGACTTTACGGACCACCCACACTTGCTACCGCCAATTGCTGAAGCTTGTGATAGCTTATGTTGCCGAGTTGAGGAGATGAGAAAAACTCCAATGACAAGATCATGACTACTTTTTTATTAAGCTAGAAAAAAATTGCGATATTTACCCCTCCACAGGGCATTTTATCTGTAGACTGTATACTGCTAGCTAGAATCTTGATTGATCTAAACGAAGTGATCAACCTTCTAATTTTGCGACTCGCTTCTCCAGGTCCTTTTGTTTCTCGATCATAGCTTCGTTACCCTCCTTGATCTCTTGAAAAATGTAGAACTGAGTAACCAAGGCAGTGAGACCTGCGCCAACGAAGAAAGAAGAGAGACGTTCCATCAGACCAGCTCCTCTCCGTGGCGTTACCACATCAGAAGAGAATGATCGATATGCCTAAATCAAGATGACCTCTTGGTTAGATATCAGAAATGGCAAGATTGGTTCCGCAAAAGAAAGTGACGTACCGCCCTGCCCTGGGATATCTGCGTCGTAAATTTGGAAGCATGTCTAGTCACTGCGAACATCTTTATCAGTCTAACACTTTGTGATGCAGAAGATAAAATATTAGAAAATTTCATGGACGACGGACAGAAATGACAAAGAAACTGAGGCCCATTCCAAATGGACGAATTTCGCGTATTTTCCTTGTATTTGCAATCGACATACAACGTCTGTTTTCAACGGATTTTATACGTCGAATTTTTTCAAATCCAATTGGAACGACGCTTTATTTTTCATTGTATTAGACAAATCCATTAAGTAAAATTCTCCGATTTCAATCCTTTTCGCGCCATTTGAAGTCTTACACAAGCTTTTGGTATATACCGGTAGTCGTCGCAAAGCCAAGGATGAAGCGGACCAGAATGGTTTATTAGGTGATGATTAGTATTTGGAATTTGTTAAAGTAGGTCAAGTAATAGTCTAGGTTAGATTTTAGCTAAACAACGCTTCTACTCTGTCATATAAACGGGACCATGCTCGTTGGTATGCTTGCGAGTTACCATTGGCCGACTCATACCAGCAGACGCTAGCTTGTAAGCCAAGGTAAAACGAATATCTTCGCCAAGTGCTTTTCCATTCGCCGGTCGGAGGGTTTCGGCTAATTGTTGTCACTGACTGTGGGCAGAGGTATTTCTCCTGTCGCTTGTGTGATGTGTTGTTGCAGTTGGTCCATTTCAAAGTCAAAATTCTGAACTTCGGATAATCCAGTATGAAGTCGTGAAGAGGCATACACACTCTGATAATCTCCATGCACTTTTCAAGGCGAAAGTGAAGGGTCCTCCATAAAATCCCCCATCTCATCACCAACTCTCCAAAGGCACATTCGACGTAGATCCGACATGACGAGAGATAAAGTTGGAAGCATCCTTCATATCAAGAGCATCATCTTTCATCTCTTCTTTGTCATAAGCTGTCATTAAAAAATGTCACAAATCCGTAGGCCGAGTTGCCAGCCACAAATAGGTCTCTTTTCCTCAGCTACTCCGCTTTGGAACGCTTGGGTGGGATCTATTCATGAGAAGTTGTTCCGAATTATAAGTCTGAAGAAGATTTCCCCTGTTTTCCCTGCTCAGGGATTGCGCACTTTCTAAGATGCAGACAGAAATAAGCAAAAACAGGAGCAGTCTTCCATCGAGACCGGTTCCACTATCATTGTTCATTGCTGCGTTTCAATGATGAACGGTCATGAATGAATATTGTCAAATCATGACATGAATCTTGGACGAGAACCGTAGGAATTCGGATTGTGGGCGTTTCTGAGTTTTGATTGGCTATACATCGAAAATACAGGACTCGCAATTTGCCCGCAATTAATTCGATGTATGTTTTTGAATCGACGTATAAAACGGTTGAAGAGCAGACAAAATGCATCGAATCTCATACATCGAATTTTGGTCATTTGGAATGGGCCTGAATTTGGTATGTTAAAATAAAATAATACGATGCACAACATGCAATGACTGCTCTCGAGGAAACGATCATAGGACTAGCATTTCTTTCCACTATCTGATTTTTTAATTTTTGCTGTATGGGACAATTGTGAATTGTGTTGCTGCTCAATTTTTTCAACCACTTTTGAAACTGGCTGAGGACCACTTTCTTTTTGTGAAGAAGAAGAGGAGAAGAACTTAATTATACATATTAATATTAAAATGTGATCTAGGACTAGTAGAAATAGCTTGTTGTGTGAAACAAAAAAGGGTTTAAGTGCATGTCGCTACCGGTAGAGCTACTGTACTGTACCGAACAAACAAGTTGAACAAATCTGTCTGGCCGCTGTCTCCGCGTCCAAAATCTGCGGGCGTACCTGTAGACAAATTGGTTTTGTGTTCGATGGCAATGCCAGAAACTACAGTATTTGACTGACATCGATCGCTTCATCACATCATCACCGATTTTGCTTCTGGTTTCAACGGAAGCAATATTTTCTCTGTAGCTGGGGGATAAAGAGGGCTAGCTATAGAAATTTATTGGATTCAAAGGCCCCACAATGACAGAAACTGACACATCCGACGAGGTGATTTCTGCACAAACCATGGATCGATTAACTGATCTTCCGCATATTGCAAACAGTGGATATCACGTGCCTCCTGAAGTTTTAGGAGTTCCTGATCAAGAGGAACCAGAATCCGCAGACTCTGAATCACGCCCGCAGAGTTATTTTGCAGACGTCAATGCAAGTGCAAGAAGACGGACCAACAGGGCTATCCGAGGAACAAAATCAAAGGCAGCCATAGCAGCAGCCATTCGGGCAGCGTCCCAAAAGATGGCAGCTTTAGACTATTCTATATTTGCCTTGATGACTTACAAGAGTATGGAAGTCATATTTGCATCAACATCGAGCGGAAGCATTGTCGGCGTGTGTTCACGAACACACCTTGTTTTTCAGACTCTTAGTCCAGCCTCGGGGTCGCAAGTGGTTTCAATCTCGGGCAATTCTGAGTCAGGGATGCTGGTAGTGGCACACGAAAATGGTCTGATTCAAACATATCGACCATTACCAAATGAGTCGCACGGTTTTGGAAGTGGAGCTCGCAATGAAATTCCATGTTCAACATTTGGAAGATACAGGTGGGTGGACGAGTGCACGATCGATGGAGGCAAAGTTTTCTACCACCAAGGAGAAGAGGTTCGTTTTGCTGATAGGAGAGGAGCTCAACCTGGGCAACTTTTGGATATTTCGACTTCGAATATCAATCGTCTCTTGATTGCACACCGAAAACAATTGGCCTTATTCGAGGTAATGCCCATCTTGGAGTCAGCAAAAGATTCGGAATCGGCTGAATCCTCTGGGTGTGCAACGCTGCTGTGGACTGCAGTTCTGCCATCAAATGTGGTGACAGCGAAGATATCTGGAGACGCTGACGCTATTGTTGCAGTGCTTGATGTTCCCAATGAACATGGAAAAGTAGGTGCACTGACATTTATTCGAGACAAAGATGACGGTAGCCAACAAAAACCTATAGACCAAGCTAAGCTGAGACGCAGCTCTTCCCTTGGATTAATCTACAAACAAGGGCCGTTTCTTGAGCATTCTGCACCAGTGTCACGAATATCCTTCAGAGGTTTGGGAAGGGAAACTTCCACTGAGCTTGACTCCAGCAGACAGCAAGGGAACGACTTACTGCTGACATATTGCAAAGAAGATTCTTCAAATCGAATATTCAACCAGAACAGTTGGCAGCAGCTCATGTTTTGGTCTGCGCCTCCTAACAGTCGCGCTGACTGGATTCGTGGTACTTCAGCCTTTAGCTTGGGAGATCTGGAATCTCAAAAGAAAATCAAGAATAAACGGTTGCACTCTCGGAGATCGAGCGAGTCATCTGTTGCGGATTCATCTGTTACGGGAGCTGCAGCGGGGCTGAAAAATTCTGGGTCGTTGGGCCTGGGAGCTCCAACAACGTCGGCGGGGGCATGGATCGCCGAATTGACATTCCGTAGCGCATTTCCAGCACTACGACTCTCACGTCTAAGTTACATGAAGCGAGGGAACGACGATTCACAGCCAGCTCATTTTGAAAGTGTTGCTGCAGTCCTACCTGCAGGGTCAATCGTTGCAGACAGTATTCTTCAGTCGGATGACATGGGACTTTTGATACAAGGTGTTTGGCCTGCGTGGAACCCGTGTTTGTCTGAGTCGACAGGTCATGTGTCTGATGATACATTGACTGGTTCAGCAATGGAGTTTTTGGGTTTATCGTCTATACCTCCCCCTACAAATGCATTTGGAGATTCTCGTCTTGGGGGCTCCCTGACTCCTCCAACAGAATTGAGGTTGGTGGCTACGCACCCGGAAACAGGCAATATAGTAGTAATGGAATTCCCTTTGTGGGGGGACGAAGAGTTCGGTGCAATGGAGTTGGGCAGCCCCATTAGAAACGTCTTGGCGTTGTCATATGCAACAACGCCTCATTCCATCGAGGCAGGAAGGCAGCATTTATCTTGGGTTTCGATCGAATACGAATCGAGCCGTCTGAGTGCTCGGGTGGAAACAGATTCAAATCGAATATCTTTCCTTTGGCGGAAACACGGATCCTTGTCGCTGTACTCTCCAGACTGGAGAGAAGATGAGGATATAGCACCAGCCATGGGAAGAGCATCGCCCACGCCTACGGCGGAGCTTCTCCATGACACAAGTGTGATGCCTGCTCCATTGCTGCTTCCGTCTTTGTATCTACCAATAAACGTTACAAGAAAAGATCCAAACAAGATAGTGGCCTTGATGTGGCTACCTGATTCGAATGTTGGAGGTCCACCCCTACTTCTCGCATTGACAACTTCTGCCACTCTTTTAGTATTCGAAATCGCTCCGCCATGGTGTGTCACCGAACCAACGATGCCCAACTATGACCCTTTCAACTCAACGCTACACGGTGATAGCACCAATTATCGTGAAACAAATCAGTTTGCGTCGAACGAGGATGAAGAGAGAGACCTAGAACATCGAAGTGAGGAATATGCTGTGAATGTCACACCACACCCAGACTTTGGCCTTGGCTTGCGACTGGAGTCTCCCATGGATGGGACACCAGCTGTTGCGGGGTCCTTTAAAAAGCATCCCCTCAACGGCGGTATGCTACCCGCTGAGAAAACAAATATGATAGTTCTTGGTGACGAGCTGGTTAGTGTCAATGGAGTTTCATTAGAGAACATGACATTCGATGATATTATTTCAACAGTGCGTCACGTTGGTGCCAAAAGCGGCCCTGGGGAGGCACTTGCTCTCAGATTCAGACCGGCGCCATTAGGGAGGAGCAAAGGAAATAGCGTTGCTCTCCAAGAGTCCTTCAACGCGCAGGCTATGGATTTTGGCATGCAGCGACCAACTAAGGAAAAACAATCACAGAGTCGACATCCAAATGATCACGAGAATGAAGCCAGTGAGAGTTTGGGAAACCTTCTTCTCGACGATTCCTTGGAAGATCAGCAAGAATTCGGTCGTTTGGTAGGTGTTGCCATTGATGCAATACCATCTTTTAGCGAAACAAGTATTTCAGAACGATTTACACTTGTTCCGTGGGAGAAGAAATGGTTTCCTCGCAATCAAAGTTCGCCCGGGGATGCAGCTCTTGTGTTGCTCGCGGAGGGGAGGAAGCTTTTTGCTCGAAAACTTCAGGTGTCTAGAGAAAGTGGCCAAGTTGATGCCATAGTTGTCGACTTGGGATCATTTGAAGTGTTGATCAATGAGAAATGTCATGGCTCCCTTGTGTCGATAAGATTCATCGAAAATTTCGGAAATAGCTTATCTTTCCTTTTGCTGGATGCAGATGGTGTTGCAAGAATTGTCGTGCTACTATTCCGCTCGGATTGTTCGGCTAACCCAGATTTTAAAGTTTTCAATGCATTCTCGCTCCAAGACAGAGCAGTTGTACGCCCCGCTTCAATGAGCCTGTTTGCTTCCTTTCAACATCACACAAAAAAGCCATCGCAGACAATCACAGTCTGGTCAGCGAGACCGGATCCTTCATGTCGAGAACTCATTTCGGAAGTCGCAGTCAGGGACGAATACTATGGAAAAGATTATATCCCCACAAGGATCGATGTTGAATCTTCTCATTGGAATTCGAGCATCAGAGACATTGCATTCCTCAAAACTGGGTATTTAGACCACTTCCCAACTCTGGTAGTATTCATGGAGTCAGAGGCAATCGTCTATCAGCGCAGAGGTCAAAACCTGAAATGGCATCCTCGTATTCGACTGACGTACCCTGCGGTACCAGACTCTGGTTTGAAAGCGTTTCGCGTCAGAAATACTGAACTTCCGGAAAACTGTGTGCCATCCAACGCATTCCCAAACATACTGCAGACGCTGCATTCGGCTCTGCGTTCGAACGACGAGACCACTGCCTACGTCTCTGATTGGCACCCTGAGTCTCTTCTCGCATATCTGTTCACAGACTGGAGAGGCGCAAATGTGGCCTGGAGAGCACATGTCAGAAAACTACTAGTTTGGTTGTCTGACGGGACTGTGGGCACAGCAGGCGATAGGCTGCAAACTGCTATGTCTCCAGTGGGTGTACCTCCCTTCCAAGCCTCCGGCGGTGAAAGTCTATTCGATAATAATCCTAACCAGTCAAATGACAACCGTCGCAAGGAAGATACGGCTTCTCTTATAGTGTCCTTGGCAGGTGCTCGAGTGACTGACAAAGAACCAGAAGATGAAAAACTTGAAAAGTTACAGGTCATACTCCAGGAATGGAAGGGTTCCCAACGCAATGTAGCGGTCATGGGTAAGAGTCGAGAGTTTAGAGAAGCGATGTTGCAAGAGAAAAGCAATGCAGAGGATGATTTATTTCCTCAAGCACTGGAAGCCTTACGTACGAATGAAGTACGAGCACTATGGACCATTATAGATGTCGCCTTGAAACTTCCTAATTATCGCCTGATTGACCCGGAAGGACAAATGGCGATGACAGTCATTTCTCTTCATGCTTCGATGAAAATGAATCCTATCAAGGATCCAAAATCGCAAGCTGTAAATAAAGAAGGTGGGAACAAAAAAATGTCGTCGTTTTACGAAAAGAAAAGTTCTCTTGACCCAAACAAGAATGAGACAGCTATGCCACCGCGCATCGCTGCTGCTGGGTGCCTTTCCGCACTTCTGAGCCATTATCAAGATCACTTGGTTGCTTCGATTCGCCAGCCTGGGATGAAGCTCGATTGGTCAATCGCTAGGGAAGCGAGACTTGCTTTCTGGCTTCGTTCTGACAAAGCTCTACGTGAAATTTCCGAGGAGATCGGACAAAACCTTTACCGCGAATCGCGAGATATACTGAAGTCGGCTCTGTTTTTCATACTCGCTGGGAAGAGACGCACTCTACGAAACTTGGCTGCCGCAGACAACACTGACAGTGGGAGGAAGTTCTATAAGTTTTTGTCTGATTACGATTTCTCAAGCCCAAGAGGACGGTCTGCGGCCGAAAAAAATGCTTTCAGTTTGTTGCGAAAGAATCGCTACGAATGTGCAGCTGCATTCTTTCTTTTGCCAGATCCGCCCATTTTGAAGTCGGCTGTGGAAATTATTGCCACGAAGATGCGAGATTTGGATCTAGCTTTTATGGTCGCTAGATTATTGGGCAATGCGAAAGAATCGATCACAGGAACAGTTGGACTTAGTGGCGCGACAAGTGGGTATTCTAGTGCTATCGCCATTGGTGGCGGAGGAGGGTACGCAGGATCCGGTTTTGTAGACTCGTCAGATTGCAAGAAAGATGAAACGAGCTTTAGTGATTGGGGACCTGAGCTTTCACAGGTTGCTAAAGACTTGCTGATCGATCGAGGCCTCCCTCAAGCATACAATGATTCCTGTTTTTCTGCAGTTCAACTAATGTGGCTAGGTCGAAACGACGAGGCTTCGCACTGGCTATCTGGTTTCATAAGGAGCCAAGATGGACTCCTGCCATGTTTTGCTCGTGACATCTGCATCACTCGTCTAGATGAAATGGATTCCAGGAGAGGCTTCAATGATTCACTGCTGGCAATGAATGGATTCATAGATTTCATTTCAGGACCACTTCTCTTGAAAATGATGCAGTCGAGCAAACGAACACGACTGGCTTCAACTCTATTAGTTACAACCAGTCTATCGCGATTGGGCATTGAATTACCTTGCCTTCGTTTGATTTTGCAAAGCTTCGACCACACAGCATTTCGAGAAGAGGATGGAAAGCTTTCGATGAGCAATAAAGGAGCTGAATACGACAAACGGGATGTGCAACACGAATCGGAAACTGTTCCACCAGCGAGTACCAAACATATGAATGGAATACAAAGGCAAACGGGAACTTCCATTTTCGATTCTTTTTCTACAGCTCCTACAAAAGAGCTTCAGACAAGCGTCAATGACAGCCAAATGCAGTCATCCATCTTTAATTCATTCGAAGCAGCTCCGGCAAAGAAAACCCTACCTTCGACCAGTGATGGTCAGATGCAGTCATCCATCTTTGATTCATTCGAAGCAGCTCCGGCAAAGAAAACTCTACCTTCGACCAGTGATGGTCAGATGCAGTCATCCATCTTTGATTCATTTGAAGCAGCTCCGGCAAAGAAAACTCTTCCTTCGACCAGTGATGGTCAGATGCAGTCATCCATCTTTGATTCATTTGAAGCAGCTCCGGCAAAGAAAACTCTTCCTTCGACCAGTGATGGTCAGATGCAGTCATCCATCTTTGATTCATTTGAAGCAGCTCCGGCAAAGAGAACTCTTCCTTCGATCAGTGATGGTCAGATGCAGTCATCCATCTTTGATTCATTTGAAGCAGCTCCGGCAAAGAAAACTCTACCTTCAACCAGTGATGGTCAGATGCAGTCATCCATCTTTGATTCATTTGAAGCAGCTCCGGCAAAGAAAACTCTACCTTCAACCAATACGCCCACACAACAGACTTTGACCAAGGCTTCACAGTTGCAGTCGTCGATCAGCGATGCTTCGACAGCCGATTCAAATGGGCCCGATCGCCCCGAAGGGAGGAAGCAAAAAATATTTCGACAACCTCCCATGCTATGGCTTGAGTGGGGTCAGAAGTTTCTATTGGATATTTCTGCTCGAAGGTTGATCAGAGACGTGATTACCATAGGCACTCGCTTCGGTGGTGATATATTTCATCCGAGACTGACGCCAACAAGCAGAGATTCTTTCGTTCCAACAAACGCATCTCGGATGCTTCAGCTCCACTGTGATGGTGCAAGTCTTTTGCAAGAAATTGTTGATTGCGTGCAGCATGTGTCGAATATGTGCAAGCTCGGGAATGACGTAGTCGTGAACAGGGCCGTGCAACTGCTTTGGTCACCGAACCATTTTTATCGATGCTGTTTTGTTGTTTTGCTGAATCTTGCAGTACAACAACTTGATTTTGCTGAGGACGTCGTTCGAATTACTTCAGTAACGCTAATACAGCACTGTGGTACGGTTTCGTTGTTGAATGACGGTCTAACACAAAACCGCAAATCGATTTCTCATTCGACGACTCTTTGTCTCCGACGACATGTTACGAATTTGAGCTGGCAACTTGAACTTTGCTTGTGGTTACATCGTGGGGGCGCTCTACCACTGTCAGGGATTGTGTTGAACGAAGCCATATGTGCGATAAGACTTGGCCTTGTTATTGCCAGCTGGAATCAAGATTTTGAATGTTTGGAAGCACTGCTGGAACAGCCGCCTGACTGTTTAGTAGACGATGATGCAGGTCGCCAATTGTGGAGTAGTCTCAAGATTATCACGAGCTCATCGCTTGGGGAGAGGCGGCAAAGCGGGTTCGGCACTCCGAGTGGAGGGTGGGAGTTTCTCGTTGATTGTACCCGTCAAGACGCGACCGACTTGCTCAGATCGAGAGAAACAGGTTGCTTCATTATTCGTCCACACCCGGACGACCATGGAGTTTTCACATTGAGTTTCAAGACAAACTTAGTACCCGACAATCAAAACAAAACAGAAAGAGCGACGATCAGGACCGATATATCCACCCCAACGTCGACACAAACGAAATCGCCATCAAAGTCTGTTAGGCGTGACGATGTTGTACAGCACGCTATAGTTCGACTCTCGGACTCTGGCTTTCGCTGTGGTTCGTTTGGACCTTTTGCCACATTGATGAAGCTGCTAGAAGCAGTCTCAGCATCCTTACCGTTTGACCTTCGATTCGACCAACCTCCGAATCAAGGTTTGATCAGAGAAGAGGGAAGCAAGCCATCTCCAAATTGCGCTCTATACCGAAAGCTAGGGCTTCTTCAGGCCAAGAGGATTTCGACGGTTCATCATACAGACGACTCGTTCCTGGTTACTGAACCCAAAGTGATAATCTCCAATAATATGGATATTCCAGAACTCTCGGGTCAGGAAAATAACAGACTGAAGCGGTTTGGGATGTTTCTCGAGTTGCTGTTGGTATCAGCGCTGCGTAAGCAACTTGGAGGAGTAGCAGCGGCCCGTTATGATAAAACCAATCTGGCTTTGGATGACGATTATGTCGAGATTGAATCGGTTGGAAGCAATTCGGGTACCTCTGGCGGTATCGGTGCTGAACAAGAGTATGCATGCTCTGCTAGAGTATTGAGACCGCTATTGAGTTGGTGTCGCGTACTGGAGATTGCCGTTGTTCGTGAGTTGTCTCCAAAGCTGAGCCAGTTTTCCGCATTTGGAGATTCTACTCAGCTTGCATTTAACGCTTCCGAAGGGGGTATTGAAGTATCAACAAACAAAACTGCAGACATGCTGGTCACAGGAGATTCCGCCATCAAGAAAATGATCCAACCTGGATCAGGAGTGGACTTTCGAACACTTAGGTTGGGTGATGGGGGTGATAGTGCTCTTGTCGTACTGTTTGAAAAGCAAGAAGCTGTAAACTGGTTCCTAAGCGTCGGGCGTGAAAAGACCAAAGAGGACGCACTCCGACGCCTACAGAACATGGAGGCGTCTCGTGTTATCGAAGCAATTAATTTACACCTTTTGCTGCCTAAGGGACGTCCGCAGCCAGCAGCGGAAGGCGGCGACCAGGACGGCGAAGTGGGTAGTGAGGAGGCTGGGATTCACTACAGATTGATTGATCCATGGGAAGTTGAGCCTTTGTATAGTCGGGAAGACGAGACTAGAAGTGCATCTCTGGGCCGCAACCGATTCCTTACATTCAGCCTGCGGAAAATCCAGGAATCTTTCGAAAATATGTTCCGGTCAACCGGAGGTGTAAATTTACTTGAATTGTGGGCAAGAGCTAAGGGTAACATAGCTCTAACAAAGACGATTGCAACGGTGCAGCCTCCTTGGGAACGTGCGGCGGGCGGAGACCTGCAACTCCATGATGGTATGGTTTCTGAGCCAGACCCCTACGAGAACAGCATCCGAGTGCACCTATACAGAAATGCACTGTACCGGCAATTGAAACTTCCCCAAAGATTTATTGCATTGATCCAGGTCGAATTGTTGGACTTGAAGAATCTAACTTCTCCTGGTGGATCTTTGACGCTGACAGTTTATTCTCTGTTGCGAGTGAAACGCTCTCGTTCGAGCTCGCCATTAACGAATAAGGCAAGAACTTTGGACAGTATTGCTACGAGCCCAGTTAAGCTGGGTAAGTCGACAGGGCCAAATGCACCTGCCTCCTGGGGCAGTGTTGTCAGATTCAGATTTCCATTACCGGAGGACACAAACATTGAAGGACGTAGCTTCGATGCTGATAGAGAATCGCTTTTCAGAGGGCCGCCCACTGTACTGCAGCTTTCAGTATACGAGAAGAAATTCATGAGCGACGCTTTACTTGGTAGTGCCGATGTCAAATTAGACGGTCTGAGCTCAGGCGGACAGCTTGAAGAGTGGCTTCCGCTTCGCATGGGAAACGATGGAATAAATTGGTTTGCACGCATAAGATTGACTCTGCGCTTTGAGTTAATGTGCCTATCAAAGGATGCAAATGACGACGGCGAATTCGCCGAGAGCGCTTGTATCCGGCGCATCTACCAGCTGGGAAACAACGGGGGTGCGACAGCAAAAATGAAAAATAGCTCCAGTACCCCGGATCTATTGAGCTATCTTGAGAGCATAGTTTACTGAAGAATGGCAGTGGAATGATGCATGTAGTAACCATGCAGTGAGAATACTCTGTCATGGTCAACGACCAATCCGAACAAAATTATGATTGCAATGCTGGTCTTCCAGATGCAAGAACCAAGTAATAGCTTATGACTGCAATCGGACGATATCATCTCTTCTTTTCTTCTTCCCTCAATTTAGAGGCTTCCTTTTCTAAGAGGTATTGCCTTCTGCCGTTGAACTCATCCAAGCGTGACATGTCCAATTCGTTTATGATATCTCGATGTGCAAACAAACACTCACCCCTGCAAAGCAATACATTTTTTAGCGACCAGTTTTTTGGTGGTACAGTACCGATAGCAAGTTAGACAGTGGAAGCTTATTTACCATCTCGAAAGGCGTTGGATTTGCATGTAGCCTCTTGAAGCCAATAGGTCTCTGAGCTTCTCTTTTGGTCGTTCGATTGTCATAAGCTTGATCCTGTACTTTTCAAAAGGGAAAACAGCCATTATATATTCTTCTGCTCCTTCAACATCTAGGGATAGGTAATCAATCTCAACCGGTGCATTAAAGCGCCATAAAATCTCTTCCAATGTCACTGTATACTCTTGTCTCGACTTTTTCCTCAGTCGTTCGGGATTGTCAAATCCCACTATACCTGAGTGGTCTCCGGCTGCAAAGAAGTCGATTTTCTCCATTCGATTGCCTCCAATAACAGCTGCCACAAGCTCGCAATTTCCCCGATAATGTGTGAGATTATAAAAGTAGTCTGCATTGGGCTCAATGCAAAGGCCTCTCCAGCCGTAGCTTTTCTCGAGTGCATAGGTATTTGACAAAACCGTAGCATCATTTGCTGCCAAATCAATGAAGAACTGAAGTGGACGATGAGTTCGATTGATAGCACTATTGTATCGCATATTCAACTTACCCCACCTCTCTTCCCACCTAGTAGACTGATGACAACTTCATCTTGTCGTGCCTGGGAGTACCACTGCTTGTTTGGAGGAATCAATGATTCGACATGGTCTGAAGATCCATAAAAGACTATCAACAGGAGTGCAAGAAGGTCGTGAGCGGTCGAGCTATTAGAAACTGTGACTTTCTTCGCGTACCGTTGATTCTTTTCCATCCATTTTCAAGTCCGTCGTTGATAAGTTTTTCGCTTCCAGATGAAAGAAAGTTCAATTTCCCGGTCCCATTCCAGAACACATCATCTCCGTCAAGAAAAGTGGAAAAGAAGAATCCAAACACTGCACCCACACCCAGAAGGAAAATGGGATGATGCATACCTTTTCCTAGTGGAGATTGTTTTCCGCTTCGCCCTCTGCGAAAATCAACTAAATTCGTATTCGGTGGTGGAATTATCATCATTTTGAGCATGCTACTAGAAGCAGTGCATCGTGGAAAGCTAAATGGAAGGTTCAAATTTCAAATTAACACGTGATTCGATTGATCTTTATTCATCTGTTTGATGATTCTCATTCAAACCTGCCTGCTGGCCTGGCGCGCGGAGTGAGTCAGTCGACACACCAGACCCCGATTTTTTGTCATCAAGTCCAAGGATGAGCGAAGAATTCGGATGCCGCTAGCCACATCCAAGTCAACGGCTCGGCGTGTTGAACAATTAATGTTGGGTCAAACACAAGCAAAAATTCCCCAAAGTGAGGCCACTTTTTGGTCGTCGTGATAACGCATTGGGCCATTGCGTGTTAGAAATAAGCAGAGTGTGCTCTTTTGTGAGTGCCTTTAGCACTCAGAACAAACTCTCTGCAATGTAAAATTGTAATTGGCTGTACAACACTTCCACGATAGTAGTTCTCCTGTATTAGGTATACTTTCAGTGAAATTGTTCCTATTTGATTAGTGTTTGGCTTGAATTGATGATTCAATTGTTGGGATATGACAAAATAAGAGTTTTTTGTAAGAGTGCGGGCAAACGAAGCGGAGCTATCAATATTCGTTATTTCTTTATCACAGATCAAGTGCAGAAAAATCTCTCATACTACTGTTGCAAAGGGACTTTATGTCTCTAAGAGAGTCCTTTTGGATATCCATCCAACGATTACTATTCTTGCCTCGAGAGTTCGACAACCTACAGAGTCTGATTGGAAGAAGTAAGGTGAGAAGTTTTGCAAGTTCAGAGATCTAATTCTTGGTCCACAGGACTAGGTCAGACAAGTATGTATATGTTCAAATGAAAATACAAAACAAAATAAACAATGAGTTAGAGCATGTCCCATTGCTGCCAATGGTGATTGTCACAATGGCAGGAGTGTGTTGGGATATAACCAAATATGCGTTTTTCGTTCCTTGAAAACCTATTCAAGTACAAAGTTTTGACACGAACGATCGGATTTTGATTGTGATGTCAGCATTTGACACAAGACTGCTGAACAAGCAATATCTAAATGCAAATGGAATGACCCTATACAAGTGGAATATTGATGTTGTGTAAGATGCAGTAGGGAATATTACCAAATGTGCCAAAGAAGTACTGTAGTTGACAGTGAATCCTCATAGAAGTTGGATTGAGTTCTGTAAACAAGGGATTTCCCAAAAGGAAATTTGTTCAAGTCACTTTTGTGATTGAATCATCAATTCCAGCCAAACATTAATCAAATTGAAACAATCCCACTCAAAGTATACCTAGAACAGGAGAACTATTATGGTGGAAGTGTTGTACAGCCGATTACTACAAATTTAGATTGCAGAGAGTTTGTTCTGAGCGCTAAAGGCACTCACAATAGAGCACAGTCTGCTTATTTCTAACATCAATCACAAAAGTGAGTTGAACGAGTTTCCTTTTGGGAAATCCCTTGTTCACAGAACTCAATCCGACTTGTTCTACGAGGATTCTCTGTCAACTATAGCAGTACTTTGGGACATTTGATAATATTCCCGACTTCATCGTACACAACATCATCAATATTTTACTTGTATAGGGTCATTTGATTTGCATGTGGATATTGCTTGTTTGGCAGTCTCGCGTCAAATCCTGACATCACAATCAAAATCTCATCGTACGTGTCAAAATTTTGTACCTGAATAGTTTTTCAAGGAACGTAAAAACTCATATTTTGTCATATCCCAACATTGCAAGATCAAACACCACTGTGGGGCACTGTATTGCAAGACAAAGAAAGTACTCGCAAAGAGCCCAGGAGCCGTTGTCAAGGTCGGCCTCTTTGAGATCTCCAAGTGAGAACAGTTTCTGCATGCTGGACCGGAGCTGTGGCATTGCTTGAAGTGCCAAGAGATGGGTTGCTGTCCTTCATGCCTGTCAAGATGAACAAAGCAATTTTGTGGTAGGATTGAGGCTTGGAGGCTTTTTCATATTGACATCCGCCCACAAGCCTACGCATTTGGCAAATGCCAGCCCAGTGTGTTTTGCCGTTCGAGAAAACCAAGCGGCAAATGCCTGATTTCCAAAAACCTCTTTTTTTCCAAGCCTTCCTTCTTGTAGAGCTTGTGAAACTTTGACACCCTGAGTTTCTTGTTGTAGGCAATGAGCAGTCGTCCTTGCACTGCACCATTCTCGGCAATTTTGGAAGGAGGGGGCGGGTTGCTTGCGTTGGCTCTTGGGAGCCTTGGGATCAGGATTATCCTTGGTTAAGGCAATCTACGATTGTGTGATTGAGTTTGATAGAGTTTTGGCCATAAGGCCTACCTGACCTTAGACAACTTCAGGCGGGAGGAGCAAACGTCCTTTTGTTGTGCCATCCTCAGCAATTTTTGAAGGAGGGGTTTGCTTGCTTTGGCTCTTGGGAGTTCTTGTCAAGGCAGGATTATCCTTTGTCAAGGCAATCGACAATTGAGTGGTCAAATTTGATCCAGTTTTTGCCTCGAGACCTCCCTGACCTTGGTCAGCTACAGGCGTGATTGATTTTGGTTCCTTCTCAGGCGGTTTGGTGATGCTATCCTTCATGTTAAAGTAAATTTCTTTCCTGTTTCAACGACAACAACTGTTTTTCCTTGCATGCGAAACGAGGATTGGTACAGTTTTGGGGCTGTATGTGAAAAATATTTTGTACCTTTTTAGTTTTTGATTTTTGAGTTTTATTGATGCGTCTTTTGCACCCTGATTTCAAGAGTCACACAGGAGGAGTGATGACCATGGGTGGTGGAGCTAGTATGCAGGCTATGTCTAAGAAACAGAAGCTGAATAGTAGCTGCAGCAGTACACATGCTGAACTAATCGCAGTGGATGATGCGATCACACAAGTGCTGTGGACGCGCATGTTCATGGAAGAACAGGGGTATCCAATTGAGAAGAATATCTTGTACCAAGATAATATGAGCTCTATTCTCCTCAAAAAGAATGGAAGATCAAGCGCCAGCAAAAGGAGCCGTGCATTGAACACCGTTTCTTCTTTGTCACTGATCAGGCTGAGAAAGGAAATCTTACAATTGAACATACTATGCCTACAGATGACATGTGGGGGGATTATATGATGAAGCCTTTGCAGGGAGAAAAGCTCCACAAGTTTTGCGCATTGATCCAAGGAGATCAAGAAGATTAGGTAGTACAACCATTGTTGGTCTGTGATATATGCGTTACATATTAACCCATTAGGGGTCAGACGGCCCTGATCAGGGCCGAGTCCCCCCCCCCTCCCCCAGATTGCTCATTTTCCCATTTCAAAACAATTGAATTTCAAATAACTTACACTCCACTATTGAAGCAATCTCCTGCACCCATATACACCCTCTGTGATATCATTACTATTGGCTTGTGAAAACAGAATGATGGTATTAGTGTGTGCCTTGACACAAGGTATATAGTCATAGATGCAGCTGATGGGACTGCTTGACTTCAGTCCCTAGTCAAAGCAATACACAATTTATGATCCCAAAGCCACCTCCAATATCTTGGACAATATCAACCCAATGGTTACAGCAACTATTATCAAGTCGAAGACATGGAATCTGCCAATATGTTTGATGTGTGGTATTGTTGTTCACCAAAGGCTCCATCCAATTGAGGGCACAAAGGAAAAATTGCCGCCAACTTCAACACATCAACACCGGGAACATCAACAACCAACCTTCCTCCCAGTAGATGTACATCCCTTCCCATGCCAATATCTGATACGCTAAGGAGGCTACTGGGTTTTCAAGAGTCTATGTTGAAAAACTTTAAAAGAGGTCAGCCCTGATCAGGGCCGAGTCCAAAAACGTGGATGGGTTAAGTAAAGAGAGGATTTGTTATCGCAACTGGAGTGTGTTGGTGAAATGGCATTCTAAGAATAAAAGAGCAGTCAAACATGTCAGACAGTGAGGTTGGACATTTGTGGAGTCAAACACGGACAGGAGTACTGTTCAAGTACGTACTGAAATAGACAAAGAGATGCCTTGAAGGTATATCTACATCTGTGACTGGATCGTGAGGGAAACATCATGCATGGATGTGCTTTATACGCCGTGGCAGCTTGTAAGAGCTGACACAGATGGCTTCTGGAAGAGAGATTTTATACCTACTTGTGGAGATCATTATTGATCGACTTCTGGCAAGAATAGTAGCAGTAGAATAAGATCTGATAGGAAGTGGGGAGACTGTTCATCCGCAGGTTGAAGCCCAGCATTACTGGTACCTGTTCCTATTGTAGGCAATCCATAGCTGGGTCTGATGTAGATTCAAACTCAGGTTTACTCCAGAGGTAGCTAGAGCGTTGAGGCTCTCATTACAGCTACGGAGTTGATTATCTGCACAGACAGCCAGCCAGACAGCTCATACTAATAATTATAAATGCACAAATTTTGCAGCTGTTGCAAATTGTCCCCAAAACAGAAGCCTTCTTCCCGGGACCCAATCTTCCAAGAAAACTTTTGTGTACTACGTTAAGTACGGCGCACCTTGTGGTTGGGGGCGGCCCAGGAAACATCATACAACATCATTCCATTTTGAAGGAACGGTAAACGGTGAACGGTGAACGGTGAACGGTGAATGGTGAACAGGGAACGGTGAGCGGTGAGCGGTGAACGGTGAGCGGTGAGCGGTGAACGGTGAACGGTGAACGTTGAACGGTGAACGGTGAACGGTGAATGGCAATGCTATCATCACCCCAAGATAAAAAATTGGAGGACTTGTTTTTAATAAGTATATAGTACCGATTCCAGAAAGTTTTTCAGCAAGGTGTTTTTCTAATAATCCATAATAATCCATCATGATTGGTTCTGATAGTTACTTGGACTGGACAGATAGGTGTCAAAGAGATGTATTTGCTGAATGCGACTCATACTACCTACCATCACCATCAAGACAAGATCTACACAGATATTCATTTTTGGGATCCCAGCTACCAAAATTGACAATTTGGAGCACATCAAGGTGCCATGATTAGATTGTTTTTTCCTTTGCACAAGGCAATACTATGGGTGCCAGAGAAGCAAAAACTGAAGAAAAGTGCTGTGACAAGCGTACTTGATAGATAGACTATGGCTGGAATGACAATTCACACTTCTTTTCACCTTGATTACAGCACTCCAATCTACCCTGTTTTGTCAGATCATGCCTACTCGGACATCCATTCAGTTTGATTTTGTTTGCAAAGCTTGCTGAGATATTGGAATTCCAGTATTTGATGCTGTCTTTCAGCATGAAGGTTGTTGTGGCGGCCCTGGAGACAGCCATGCATTCAACATTACACTAGAGTTTCCCTTGGATACCTATTGTTTAAATTTTCTGGGACCCAGGCAATAGTTTGGCCTAGATCAAGAATCATGAGGCCAAACTGGGGTCAGAAATCGTGGAAGTCCAAAAACCCACTTGGTAGTGATGTGGGCCGAATTTCCTAACACTGCCTTGTTCTAACACATATTTGTCGTCCATGGGCATACATGAGAAGATTGATGGCTTTGGAGTGGATGTTTTCTGAGTAAAAGTGATTAATAGCACTCACACTAATTTGGGGATCAATCCAGGTTCCATAAAAAGTGTGGCTGGAATCCTTCCCAGTCCCCGGAGTCGGTACCCTGACACAATGGCACAAGTTCAAAGTTGGTCAAAATATATAGTCATCGTATTTGGGCGATTGTTTGGAGTGCTATGGCAGAAAAAAGATTCTAGGCTAGCATGATTTTTTTCTCCATTCCCTGCTTTTCAATTGACCTTGTGGAATGGCCTAGAATATGATCGATTCTACACAAAGATGTATAATTATAATGCCACATTGAAATTTATCTAAGAATGTAATTGCAACAAGATCGTATGGTAAGAAATCAGCCTCCGGCCTCTTGATGTTCACAAAAGTCAATATATGAAGTCGATTGAGTTAAATTGTCTAACGGCTGGTTTTTTAGCCGTTACCAGAAAGTTGTTTTCTGTACTGCAGGAAGCCCCTCTAACACCTCCTTGGTTAAAAGGGATGGGCAAAGTATTCTCTACTGTAGCATTTTGAAAAGGTTTTAGGTCTGTGGGCGCTTTTTGAAATGTTTGCTTTGTCCCCAGAATTCCAAATTCACCCGATTTTTGGGTGGTATTTCGTGGATTGGGGTCACCAGTACCGGTAAATTGATTCTTCAACTAATATTGAGCGTACAGTATTTAGTGCCTTTACTTTTTACTACAGGTACAGCACGATTTAGGACTGTTCACCAAGAAAGTCAGCAAGCTTTTCAATCGCAATTTTTAGTTCTTCCATGCTCGTAGCATAACTGATGCGAATGGTTCCAGGTGCACCAAAGCTAGATCCTGGAACCAGAGCAAGCTTTTTCGACTTTAAAAGCTGGAGACATAGTTCAGTGTCATCTCCATCATAGTATCCTGATACATCCGGTAATATGTAGAATGCACCATTTGGTGGCACTGAAACGCTCACGCCAGGTATCTTTTCAAGCTCACCCAACACAAAATCGCGTTTCTGCTTCATGATCTTGACATTTTCAAGAAGCTCATCGTCTGAGACTTGCGTCAAGGCAGCAACTCCTGCAGCCTGTGAAATAGATCCTGCGCATGATGTGAGCTGAGATTGAATGGTAGTTATGGCCTTGGCTAGATGCTGCGGAGCTGCAACATAACCCAATCTCAATCCAGTCATAGCATATGCCTTACTAAAACCGTTTACTGTCATTGTTCGAGAGAACATTCGATCGATGCTAGCGAAAGATGGGCAGTCTCCTTCGTACACCAAGCGTTCGTAAATCTCATCTGCAAGGACAGCGACATTTGGGTAGTCATCGAGGACTTTTGCAAGGGCCAAAAGATCGTCTTTGCGATAGACCCCTCCACTTCACCGACCAATGCAGAAGACGACAGAGCAAAGTTGTTAGAATCTTCAATCATCACTTCATTTCATCGCATTGTTCACGAAAGACAAAATGGCATCGTACGTTGGGTTCCCTGGGCTGCAGAGGAAGATTAGCTTGACATGAGGATTTGCTTCAAGTGCCTTTCGTAAGGCTTTTGGGGTCATCAAATATCCGCTTTCCCTTGTGGTTTCGACAATAATCGGCTCTGCCCCCACCAAGGCAACCATTTCTGGGTAGGAAGGCCAGTACGGGGCAGGTATAATCGCAGCATCTCCTGGACCACAGGTTGCCAAGATACCTTGATAGACACTTTGCTTTGCCCCGTTCCCTACAACGATTTCTGTTTGAGGGTTGTATTCGAGCCCCTTTCTCCGCTTTAAATCGTCAGCAATAGCATTCCTCAAATCAGCAGTCCCTGTGACTGCCGTGTATTTGGTATCTCCACGCAGAATGGCAGCAGTTGCTGCATCCAAAACAGCCTTGGGGGGCAAGAAATCTGGTTCTCCGACACAAAGTGAGGTAACCTTTTCCCCATCTGTTTCCATCTGCTTCACAAGAGAGAAGATCTCCACCGTCTTGCTGACCTTGACAGATGCAACAACTGGGTTGATACTGATTTCTGCATCATTCGTCTTCGTAGAACCAAGTGAAGAAGGACGCGGAATCTTCGATTGTACAACAAAAGCACATGCCTTGTTCATCAGAAGAGACAGAAGCAAGGTGGACAGGAGAAGTCGACTTTGGGCCCTAGTGTTCATTTTCATGGTAATCTTTCTTGAAGATTATTATTATGCTGACAAAATGAGGGCAGAAATTGCACGGAACTTTTCGAATGTACGCTTGCAACAATGATTTATTTCTTGTGATCATTATTGATGAATGATTGAAGTAATCATCTGAATCAATCAATCAATCGTATCACTGGTCACTGCCCACAGTGGTTCGACTAAAACGAACATATGACGTCAGTGTTGCCGAAATAGCGGTCACAGATGTGACACTGCACAAGATTTGGAAGAGTACTTGTACCGGTACGTTGAACGTATTGTTACAGTACCACACACACAGCTACATTATGAAGTTTGTTTGTGCTACTTTCTTGCTTTTGGCACAGAGTGTCTCTTGTTTTCACTTTGAGTGCTCTCGTAAAGCCTTTTGGGATCGTCAAGCACAGTCAGCACTGGTCGCATTTGGAGCAACGATCATTCAACCATCAAAAGCAAAGGCTGCCTATACGCCAAAACCCGCTGAATTGGAAAAGTTGAGGATTGGACACGCACGCATCAAATGGTTATTGGAGAATTGGGATCTCGAGACGGAAGTATGCGGGAAACAATCAATGTCGGAAATCGAACGGAAGCAAGTGATTCGCACTGAGGGTAAAGCTTGAAAGTTCTGTGTGTTGAATGGTCCTCTCAACTCTGACTTATTGTTTTCTTCTATCATAGGGCAAGGGAGCGGAGGCTGCGAAAAGACCCCGCTTAATGGTGCGCACATTTCGGAATGAAGACAGTTTGACATCAATTCCAAATTGCAAGATCTCTATCTGACAGGACAAGATTGTTTTGTTTTGTTTTGTAGTTCAGGGTTTTCTTGGATATAAATCAACAGAAGATCCACTTTATCGTGTGGAGAAGCTCATGATTCGAGCTGCTGACTTGGTAGTTGATGGTGATGTTGAAGGTTACTTGAGCGTCGTTGAAGCTTACAAAGATAAAGCAGACAATAGTGCAATGATGGCCTACACTTCGTCGTGGGGAGAGGCAAATCCAAATGGTGGGAAAGAAGTGATTGATGAATACTTGGAACGAACAAAATTAGATGTGGCCGAGACTGAGAGGTATTTGCGACAGATCCTCAACTACCTCAACCTAGAGCCACTTCCAGCAAGGAAGAACCCTTAAACAAGCCACAACTTGGACTTTAAATGGGCAACTGACCACCAAGCATAGTATTGTTTTCTGTGTGATAGATTATTTCTAGTTTTGATGAGGTGGATGGAGTGCTAATATGAACCAGGCCAAAAGCCTGCTACTCTAGGTGTCTTTTAATGAGGTACGATTTTTTTTTTGAAAGCTCGAAATAGGTACAGTTGGCAAACCATGAAATCATCTTTGTTCATTGCACTGTAGGCTGAAATTTTTTTCTCACAGCTTAGGAGGGAGGGGGGGATGAAAACACGGACCATGGCACCAGCAAATCTGGAACATTGTTTTTGATCCACTGTGGAATAGGTTTTCCAGCTTCCTTTTCGACTTGCGGAAAAACGAAGTTGGGGAGAAGATAGCGCAGACTTCGAATTGACGGCGGCTGCGATCCGTCAATATCCGTGAATCCAAACTCATTTGCCAATTCAGCCACAACCTCCACGTTTCCAGAGCGTTCCAATATTTCTTCCCTATTTAGCTTGGTGAGTTGTACAACCGCCTTGCCTGAGAAAGCCGGCGATTCGCCCTGTGAGAGGTCAAGGCCTCAGGAATAATGGAATATAGGAAATGAGCCCAAAAGTTTGGACAGAATGCAACAATTATAGACATACCTCCGCTAGCCTCATCCCAGCTACCATCTTCAACCATTGCCAGATTGCCCTCTGTCTTCACGAGGCCGGGGTACAGAGAAATGGAGGCCACGCCATGCTTCTTCAATTGGTACGCCATATCTGATGCCAGACGATCAACGGCACATTTTCCGACTCCATATGCCACGTTGAAGGTGTAAGATTTACCGCCAAAGCTAGAAACTAGGCATATAAGCGGTGCTTTTTTTGTAGTCCTTGCTGTCTCGATCATCGAAGGTGCTGCTGCTCGACAAGCAGCATACACTTGCCTTTAAGAAAAATAGTGTAACTGTCAGATGGTTGCCAAACCCCAACCCATGTAAACTTCAACGGCGGCGGGCATACCTCAGTCCAACATTCATTAGAGTTGACCACATATCCATATCTTGTTGCCAAAAATCGCCTCGTATGCTAGTTCCAAGCGGAACGGCGAATGCGCTGCAAACAAGTATATCGAGCCTTCCCTCAGCTGCAAAAATCTCAGAAAGTATCCGATCGATTTCATTGTCCTTCGATAAATCACATACAATCGCATGACCATCCCCCCCCCGTCTGCTAACCTCTTCTGCTGCGGACTCGACAGTAAGGTCCAATCCTTCAGCGACAGGACGCTGCCCTGGTATGGGCGATGACGACTTTCGACTTGATCTGCCCAACGTGTAGACAGTGAAGTTCTCTGTTCCGAGTTGTACAGCAATTGCGCGCCCGATTCCTCGTGATGCACCAGTAACGACAGCTACGCGCCCTTGTGACATGTACGGTGATAGTCGGTCAGACAGGGCAATGGCATTGATGAAGCAACGGAAAAGAAGAAGAGGCAGCAACATTTTTCATTTTTGCCGTACAATTTTAAAAAAAATCAGCTGAGTGAGTCGATTGATTCATTCTATGTTTTGAAGAATAATGATTGATTCATTTGACTTTTGGGTATCGAAAGTGACTTTTAGGTTAAAGCCAACGTATCAATGTTCGTGCTGTCTACAAGGGAGGCCACATCATTATGCTGCTTCAACAATTGCTATATTGTTCCACGCCTTTTCTTTAAATGCTCGAAATGGCATGCCTTGCAACGGAACAGTGTCTACGGTATGACGAACACACCACACAGATGGATGTTCAAGTCACTGCAAGCGCCACAATTATTGAATGCTCTACAGTAGTTAGGATTTTTGGTGAATTGAAACAACTCGATCTCCTTCGGCAGTTGTGGCTATCATTGCCTCTCCCCACGCTATTGCAGAAACAGGGCTCTTGGATGCAAGCTTAGCTGTTTCCCCCCATTCTTTGACTGCGGTGATCTGAACACCACCTTTGCCTCCATAAGCCAAGTATTTCCCGCTTTCGTCGAATGCAAGTGTAGATACCGCCTCCAACAGTGACTTGTCTGGATTCAGTGTGGCAATTGTTTTTTGCTTTCGCAAATCCCAGACGCGAACAGTTGCCGATGAGTGTGATGTAGCTACATGATAACCATTATTCGAAAATTCAATTGCTTCTACGGAATCTTCTCCTTCCTTTGATATGCAGCAAATTAGCAACGACTCGTTTGATGAGGGACACTGTGGCGCAAAAACTAACAAACAAGAAAATATCCGCATCGAAGCTCACCTCTAGGACACTTGCCAAAAGCTTGTTTTTGAAATCCCACATGTGTATTTTCCCAGTAGTAGTTCCTGCAGCGTAGATAAGTCCATCGGGATGAAGTGCACCGCAGGTGTATTCGGCTGCCTCGTCTCCGCTAAATTCCGACACAGGAAAAATTTTCTGGTCTTGTAGTGCATAGATGATAATTTTTCCAGCCTTCGTAGCGATACAAAGGTGGTTTGCACTTGGATGAATACAAAGGTTCACGATGGGTGTTTTCGATTGCAGCTCTCCAACAATCGATCCATCTGGTAATGAGTACACAATCATTCTTCCATTCTTATTGGCAGCTGCCACCAAAGAGGATTGAAAAATGTCGACACACGTTGGGATACTGCCAAAATTGAATGATTGCAAGACGACATTTTCGGACAGACTGTAGGCAATGACTTGCTTATCCTTTCCAGCAGTGACCAAAACATTGCCTGCTTTAGCCATGGCAGTCAATCCCTTGCAGGTTGTTTTGTGAAGTGCCTTCTTGTCTCCAGCAACATACCCGACCAAGTCTTCAGCAGTTGGAGCCGCAGCTGCTGCCTTCTTCAACATTGGTTTGCGTTGAGGCTGTAAAGTTCCCCATGTATCCACCATTTCTTGCAGATCGTCGCTGGGAATGTCATTCTGCAACGGTTCACTGGGAGTTTCAGTTCGTCGTCTCTTCTTCGAGGGCTCCTCCGCCGACTCTGTTTGTTCTGCAGCTGCAGCTGCAGGCCCCGTTGTGACAATGGAATTCCACTTCTCCAGCTCCTGTCGTGCCGCATCGCGTTCCATGGACAATCGAGCGACAACTCGGACGGCAGCATCATTTTGATAGAGTGCCTGGCTTAATTCTTGTCGCGTGTCTTCAAGTGCCTTTCGAGTGTCAAATAATTCCAATACCAGAGCATCATATTCTTTCTGCATCTGTTGCAGCAAATTAGGCAAGGAAGTAGGATGCACCCGAGGTGGTGGTATGGAGGCTTTTTTAGAAAGTGTGACAAGCTGATCTTCGGAAAGAGGACGCTCTTGCACTTGCTCAAAGGGATCCACACCTCCATTCTCGGACAGTTTCGCCAGTAACAATCGTTTGATGCAAGTATGACCCGACGGCGTCACTACGATTTCTTCTGTTGTACTAGCAAGGGACTCCCCAGATATCTCGCAAATTAACGACATGTTGCAAGTGTCTGTTCACTGGATTTGGGATAAGATACACAGATGTGGCAAGACCAGGTGGTTTCGAGGCTTGTCAATAATCGGGGGGTGCTGGGAGGCAGGAGGCAGGAGATGCCGATGATGATAATTGGTTGGTTCGGGTGACGGACATACCGCGCCCAGATTGTGACGGCCTGCAGCCCTGTAGTCGTAGTACAAAAGATACGATGCCGTGCTCCCGTGCACCCGCCTCGAGCGAAATGCACTCACTCGAGCTGAACATGCATGACTAGAGCAACTGAAGGCATCAGGCACGAAATCATACTTGCATCCAACATAACGCTCCAAGGCTTCGCTCGTTGCCACTAGTTCACTCTTCCAGAAATCTGAAAAGGCATCTGTATCCACAAGTCACAACATTCAGTACAGTTTGTTGATACCATCATGCACATCAAACAAATTACAATCAGTAATTTTAGGAGTTTCCGACAGCAGCCGGAGATCCAACCCTTCTCGCCGACTACCAACGTTGTAGTTGGAAGAAATGGGTCTGGAAAATCAAATCTCTTTGATGCTGTACAGTTTGTATTGCTCAGTCCTCGATTCGCCACTTTGAGATCGGTAAGTTGCTACCATCTTCCATGAATTGCTGTGTTGCAGTATCCTACCGACTTTAGTGGCGCTATCTAACGGAATGCTTTTCTTATCTCGCTCTTTTCCGCCGTTGCAACGAAACAACAAACACAACAGGAAGAGAGACAAGCTCTTTTGCATGAGGGCAGCGGCTCGGCTGCCGTTAATGCTTTTGTCGAAGTAGTGTTTGATAACTCCGACAATCGATTCAGCCTTGAAAACTCGGACGAAGTAGTTCTTCGACGAACGGTGGGGAGCAAGAAAGATGAATTCTTCCTGCAGCGAAAGCGAGCCACCAAGCAAGAGGTGCAGTCACTCCTAGAGGGTGCTGGATTCTCAAAGAGCAATCCTTACTTCATGGTACAACAAGGAAAGATTCAAAGTCTTTGTCTCATGTCAGATTCCCAACGGCTCCAACTGCTCCAACAAGTTGCAGGTACTACACTATACGAAGACAAGAAACGAGAATCACAAATCAAAATGGACGAAAATACACAGTCGATTGAGAAAATCAACTCCATTCTTTCCGATATTGACCAACGACTCAACGAATTGAAAGGAGAGAAAGAAGAGCTCGTTGTATACCAAACCTGCGATCGAACGCGCAAGGCTCTCGAATACACCCTGTACGACAAGGAGCTACGAAAAGCTAGACACACTTTGGATCGCTTGGAGAACGAGCGCACGGATCATTTGGAGAGTACAGCCAACTTGCACGAGGCGCTAAAGGAAACGCACGAGCGTATTCAAAATGCGGAAGGAGAGCTTCAAATCAAGACGCAATCGCTCCGACGCAATCGACGCCAATTGCAAGATGCCGAGGGCGACAAAATCAAAATTGTCACACTCAAGACCAAGCTTGATTTGAGATGCCAGGAATTGCAAGAGCAGCTCATGTCTGGAAAAGAATCCCTCCAGCGGACAGAACATGACCTCACCGTTTTGCAAGGGCAAATCAAAACTGCCCAAGATGACTTGTCGGAAAAGGAAGAAGCTTCGAAGAATGAGCAGTCGGAACTTCAAAAGTTGCTGCAGGCTAAGGATGAGGTCAGTCGAAAGGCGGATAGTCTCTATGCCAAGAAAGGACGGGGAAAGCAATACTCTACGAAAGCAGAGCGGGATGCCTCCCTTCGAAAGCAGATCAAGGAAATTCAAGCCATGCAACAAGAAAAGCAAGAATGGCTCCAGCAGCAACAAGGCTCGCTTGGAAACTTGCGACGTGAAACGAAGACCAACGACGAAAGGATTGAAGCAACAAAGAACGAACTGGGTTCGAAGCGCGAGTCGATGCAATCCATTCGCAAGACTTTGGAGGATAAGCAAAAACAACTTCATTCTCTCATGGAAGTGCGCAAAAACACTTGGCGCAAGGCCGAGGAACTCCAAGAACGATTGAAGGAAAACCGGGATCATATGCAACGGGCAATGTCGGACGTCCGAAAGTCCATGCCTCGCGCTACATCTATGGGGATCAAGGCACTACAAAGAATCGTCGAAGAAGAGCGAATCATCGTTGGCGAGCAGTTTTTTGGTATGGTGATGGAGAACCTAAGGCTCAAGGACAAGAAATTCCAAACTTGTGTAGAAGTTGCCGCACAAAACGCTCTCTTTCATGTGATTGTGGATACCGATGCAACCGCAGCCAGACTAATGGAACACTTGGAAAAGCGAAAGCTCGGTCGAGTCACCTTTATGCCTCTTAATCGACTTAAGGTAGGTCAGAATACTCGCTATCCACAATCCAGCGACGTAACACCCTTGCTCGACATGTGCGTCGAATTTGACGACCGTGTTGCCAGAGCAATGGAACACATTTTCGACAAAAAGTTGCTGGCCAAGAGTGCCGAAGTAGCTTCTGAGTGGTCGAACAAGGTGCATATGGATTGCATTACCCTTGATGGTGATTTGTGCTCGCGAAAAGGTGCCCTCACTGGTGGATATTTGGACAAGTCCAAGAGTCGTCTTCGGGCCTTTGCAGCTCAGAGAACTGCAGAGCGCGAGTACGCCAAGATTGATGAAGAGTTTTCCAAAGTAGACGTGGATGCCAAAAGGGCGGAACAGGAAGTGACTAATGTATCACAGGAGGTATCTAGGTTGCAGAACAAGCAATCTCAATTGTCACGCTTGGTGCAAACTTTGGAAGGAAAGCTCGCATCCGAGCACTCTCAACTTTCCCAGAACAAGAAACAAGTCTTGCAGATTGAGTCCCAAGCGATTCCGCCGATTGAGCGGGAGATAGCCGCGTTTGGTAGTGATATTGCTCGACTCGAAGATGAAATCGGGACCGAATTGACGTCGGTATTGTCTGATACTGATAGGGAACAGCTGGCCGAGCTGAAGGAAAGTCTTAAGACATTGCAATCCAAAATCTCGAGCCAAAGTGAGAAAGTCGAAGACTTGCGATCCGATCGACAGAAGCTTGAATCACTTTTAGAGGACAATCTTCTGAGACGACGTGAAGAGCTCCGACAAGTATTCAGAGATGATACTGGTGGTGTTGTATCCACGTCTGTGAATAATCTACTGCAGCAAAAGGAGAGCGAGCTCGACCTTCAACAACAAAACTTGTCCGAGGCTAGCAAAGACTTGAATGAGATCGATGCCAAACTTGAAAAAGCGAGAGGGGTAGAAGAGGGTTTGAAAAGAGAGCTAATTGCTGCAAAGCAGGAGCTTGACAAGCTGAAGAATCGAGATATGAAGCACTCTCAGTCTCTAGAGGAAGCCAATGAGAAGTCTGAAAAATTGATGAGCAAGGTACGTGTATGGAGAGCCTGTTGACTACACCGGGATTGTCATCTTACACCAACATTTCTTTGAACGTAGAAATCTATGCACATCGCCAAGAGGGAGAACTACATGCGAAAGATTCAGGAACTTGGCTCTCTTCCGCCTCCAAAGGAACTCGAACAATACCGAGACGATTCTATCAATACGCTCGAGTCAAAATTGGAACAAGTCAACAAGAAGCTGAAAAAGTATTCTCATGTCAACAAGAAAGCTTTCGACCAGTACGTAAACTTCAACGATCAACGTGAATCGTTGCTGCAGCGGAAGGAAGAATTAGATAATGGAGCGGAGAAAGTTCGTGAGCTTGTTGAGAGTTTGGATCGCAAGAAGGATGAAGCCATCAATCGAACTTTCCGCGGCGTCAGCAAGCATTTTGCAGACGTTTTTAAGGAGCTCGTTCCCCTCGGAGCAGGCGAGTTGATAATGAGAACCACTCTTGACGAGGTTGCCGACGATGGCGATGATTCAGACGAAGATACGTCTCTTATTACTGATCACAAGGCGAAGAAAAATAAACCAGAAGACCCAGATGTTAGTCTTTATCGTGGTATTGGTATCAAGGTTCGATTTTCGAAGGTCGGAGAGAACTTCATTATGAGTCAACTCAGTGGTGGACAGAAGGCATTAGTTGCTCTTGCTCTAATCTTCGCTATTCAACGATGCGATCCAGCCCCTTTTTACATCTTTGACGAACTCGACCAAGCACTCGATTCAACTTACCGTCAGGCTGTTGCGAACTTGATCTCAAGACAAGCTAGCAATCCCGAGACACCAACGCAATTCATTACAAGCACCTTTCGTCCTGAGTTGGTTGCGATTTCGAAGAACTGCTACGGTATCAGTCACCAGAACAAAGTCAGCAGCATTCATCCCATGCAAAAGAACGATGCTTTGAGATTCATTGCCAACTTGATGCATGAGGAAGAGGCAGTTGGAGAAGTATCAGAAGTCAAGCGCAGAGATTCTCGGAAGCGGAAATCGGTCAGTGAAGAAGGATCGGGTGCAAACACGGAAGCCAAACGAGCTGCAAACTCTTCGTAGCCCTTTGCACTGGTGTGTTCTGGGGGATTGATGAAAATACATGTAGTGACGTAAAGTAGTTTTGATCGGTCAATCAATCTTGGTGCCAAGGCAGCCAGGATCGGAACCTGGTAATACTAGCTTCGTACTCGAGGTATCCTATTACGATGGCTAAAACGATATTTATGCTTTTGGGGGATTTTTTATGTATCTTTTCATCATCTTGCTTTGGAACGACCTCGCCCCCAGTTTTGTTGGAGAGACCCGGAGGGCAGGCGTTGTTGGAATCAATCACAAGACATACCCAATTTGAGTGGGTACATGGTTCAATTGGTTGCATTGGAAGTTTCAAATCCAGGATTTTGTGAAACGATGGCCAGTCAAGCTGCCACTTCAGGTGAAACAGACCCTTTGGGAAGTGAATCAATCGATGAAATCCTAAAGGAGACTGAAAATCTCATGCAAGACATAGATGTAGATTTGAGTGCGGATTCCGCGGGAATGGTATATCAAGGGTTTTCAATTGACAGCGATGGCGAAGAAGACACGCCAGAAAATAGCAACAATAACCACAAGGTGGATTTAGATGATCACCCGCTCTCGGATCATTTGTTGCCAGCTCTCACAGCACCCGATCCAACCACGCAGTTGCAAGGGAGTACGGAACCTACTTCAAACACCAGCGCAGGAATGTTGGCGACTCCAGCGGCCAGCAATGCAACTATGGACACATTTAAGCAACAAACATCTCGTTTTGCGTCCAATTTAGCTTCGATGGCGCAAAGGGCAGCCAGAGAAGTTGCTGCTGCCACGAATACAGTTCCAATGACAGGAGCACCAGTTAAGGGAGCCCCTGTTGTCCATAGACAAGGTGCACTCCACCCTGCTGGCAGCAATCAGCAACAGCCTTCTCTAGCAAATGGAGTACAAGGAACCCAATGCAATAGCACTGGATTTAGCGCTGAACAAACACAAAGTCTAATAAAGGATCATTTCGGAGACTTATTGCCAAACGAGAGGCTGATCATGTTTCTTCCCAATCTTCTACATGTCAGTGATACATCGGGCGTTTCATACTTCGCATCAAATTCATCTGGTCTATCGATGTGGTGCTGCGTATTGACATACTACCGTATAATTCTTTTCACTACCGCTGAAAAACAGCAACTCGAAATGCCCCTCCCTGCTGGATGGAACCCGCTTTGTTGGCCAAAAGCACCTTTCCAGAAATGTTTGGAATTGCCTCTTGGATGTATTGACCGAATTGAGAAAACTGTTTACCAAGCCGGGGGCTCGAGTTATATGGGACTTTTGCTCACATCTAAAGATTCGGGGCGGGTTATCAGGTTCACTACGCAGAGCTATCTGGAGACTGGGAGAGCTTTCGATTCAATCAACACCTATGCATTCCCTGGTCGAAAATTCCTTGGCTATCTTTTTGCATTTGAGTCGAAGCGTAATGAAGTAATGGCAAGTATCACTGTCAATGAGGCAGGCCAGCAAACGATCACGATTCCTCCGACGGCAAAGAGATTTGACGCTACGGTTGAGTTCCCAAGACTTCTAGCCAAAACGTCGATTACTCAGTCGCCTTGGGTAATGTGGGGTTTGTTGAATGCAGGTTATCAACTATCACCAACTTATCCATCAGTACTGGTGGGGCCAGCTACCTTGGACGAAACACAACCAGAATCTCAGCATGTTATCCGTCAGTGTGCGGCATTCCGAAGTGAAAGGAGACTTCCGAGTTTGACATGGTGTGATACTGGTGGAGCATCAATTTGGAGGTGTGCGCAGCCAAAAGTCGGGCTTCAAGGGAATCGGAGCCCAGCTGATGAGCTTTTCTTGCGACACATTGCAGAAAGTGCTCGTGGTGCAAACGCTATGACAGAACAACCTCCTGTGTATTCTCGAAGTATTCTCCAGCAACTAACAGGAGATCACGCAAAAGATTGGGTACCAGAACATGGCTGTAGCTTAAAGATTCTTGATCTTAGACCACGCTCCGCTGCTATGGCCAATCGTACTGGGGGTAAGACTTTCTCGCGTTCTTTGATTGTTTCAGCCCCTTTTTCCAACACTCTAACTGACATTCCTTGAAATTCAAAGGGTACGGATACGAAAATACGTCCAATTATATGAGTACTACCTTACAGTTTTGCAACATTGCAAATATTCATGCTGTTAGAGATAGTTACCAGAAGCTTTGTACGCTCTGTACAAGCCGCTCAATCGCTGATGTCAACTGGAATTCTCTCGTGGAGGATACAAAATGGCTTTCTCACGTTCGCGTTATTTTGGCGGCTGCTTGGGAGACGGCATATTGGGTTCATATTTGGAGAATGCCTGTTCTTCTTCATTGCAGCCACGGGTGGGACCGAACATCCCAAGTCTCTGCATTGGCTCAGCTGCTGTTGGATCCATACTATCGGACCCGTCATGGCTTTTCGGTCCTTGTGGAGAAAGACTTCATGAGCTTTGGTCATCCATTTCACAAGAGGTGTGCCCATGGTGAAGGTCGAGGTGACAAGGTTGCCGCACATGTTGCAACTCCAGATGAGGGACAAGTATCGCCAGTATTCTTGCAGTTTGTTGATTGTGTTTATCAAATTGTGCAGCAATATCCTGAATGTTTCGAGTTCAATACAACGTACTTGCAAGAGCTCTCATTCAATATCTACAACAATCGTTTTGGCAGCATGCTTTGCGATACCGAAAAGGATAGAGAAGTTGCCGCAAGCATCAGACAACGGACGTACTCGGTTTGGGATCACTTGGATGCATCTGCTGCATTCAAGAATAGCGACTACACGGAAAGCGCCGGCGTCTTGTTGATGCCGCTGTCCATGCTCTTGCGGAATGTGAAACTTTGGCAAGAAAGACACTGCTTTTATGGGCCAAAGGCTACATATCGATAAGAATAGAACCCCGGAAGTTTTTCCATCGGAGCCATAGGTTCAGCTACTTCTTCAAGGATGGACGAAAACATCCCATAGAGACTTCAGAGCTTTGATTGTTGCGTCCTTAATTCTGCCTTCTCTCTGTCAACGGTGAATTCTCTTGTATACCGACCAGAGCAATATCTTCTTCTTTGTGATAGGGTGTGGTTTGACAGTTGTCAGCTTCGTCGAACTCAGTTTCTGCGGACCTTCTGCCATCAGCAGTCAAGACATCCGAAAGAGTTCGGCCTTCGATTTGAGTTCCAAGGTAACATATCTGGATCATAAGGCTTGCATTTACCAGAGCTGCAGAGCCAAATGTGGCAATGAGAAGCCCATCTGCATCGTTCAATTGAACTGTTGTGAAAAGTCTAATAAGACAGCCTATCGTTGCCAAACCAGCGGTAATGGGAGAGTAATCGCCTGCTTTTTGCCGCCTGTGATTTAGAATAAACTGAGGGATTAAAGCACCTGTGTTCAATACTGCAGAAATCCCTTGTCCGAGCGCAACCAATTGAATTGGAGCTGTCAGCAGCAGAAGAATGGAAACTGCAAGGAAGATTGTGACTTGGCACTTGAATCTGTGATTCGCAAGCGTCTGGTAGTATGCCACTAGACAGAGAACCACTGCAGCCTCGAGTGCGAGTATCAGAGTTTCAATATACGTCGATAAGTTGTATCCTTGGTTGATATAGTAGATGTCCGAAGCTGTGTAAGAGGTCAGCTTAAGCCACCATGTAGAAAGAACCAGGCCTTCTGCAGCCTTTTGCTTTTGCCGCCATAATCTAAGAATAATTGGACTGTAGAGTGCGAAGGAACCAACCCCAACCAAATAACCCAATATTTGAGCAAAGACAGTTGAGTCTGCAAAGGGCGCCATTTGGATGTACTCGTACTACTATCGATAGCGGCTTGTTTCAGATGCTGCCAGAAAAAAACCCAAACCGGAAGACCCTTATCAGAATCCCCGCGCTTTGCGGGATTTCTGAGACATGGTTTCTTACTCGTAGTACCGATACCCGGTACCTGTATCGTGCTGTCAACGAATGAAAGAGGTGACAGAGCCCAACAATGGTGAAGAGGGAGAGACAATTGAGGCGGTTCAGCGAACATCTCAATTGATCCAATCTCAATAAACCGAGCCATCATGCCAAGGATCTCTACATGGCGAGCGGGGGGAATGGCTTCTTCCCAACTTGTATGTGATATACGTACGTATATACGTACACAGGATAGATGGTCGACTACATCGACTCTTTTGCAAGTTGTTGATCTTCAAAGACACAAGCGAATTGTCATAAAATCATGTCAGGTAAGACGCTGGATCATGATGTTTCAAAGCCGACACACACACGACGAGGCAGGGATGCCACTTTACCAAGTGCTGTTGAGGTGCTACCAGTGAAAGAAGGGGAGGATGTTGACACAAATCGGATAGGAGAAATCGAAGAAGATTCTGCAGCCAAAAATCCTGCTGAAAGAAGTTCCGGGAAAGGTGAAAACAATAATGTTCGTATTCGAATAGGATGTAGAAAAACTAAGGAAGACAAAGAGCTCATTAGGCTTGCCCTCCATCGAAATCCATTCTTTACCTGTATGGATGAAGAGCAAATTCAGCGGTTTGTGGAAGTCGCAGAGTGCCGGTCGTTTCGACCTGGCGAAGCTGTTATACTCGAGGGATGCAGAGATGAAAGAATGATGTACGATTACCAAGCGGATGCAGATGAATCACTTGGACCAGCTGATGTAGATGAGTTTTTGCTGGATGAAGAGAACAAGAGCAATGTCAATATTGAAACTGACAGCTCTGCGATGCATGCCGAATCAGACGCTTTCAATCTAGCATTACATACCCTGGATCATGTACCACCACCATTTTCCGCGTCGAAACCTCTACTCTATATCATTAAGGAAGGAAACGCTGATGTACTGTATCATGCAAATTTCAATCCAGCATCTCTTGGACCAGGAACATTATTTGGAGAAGGACGGTTTCTTTTCGGAAGGCAGCATTCTGCGTCTATTGTGGCCGCTGGCCCTTTGAAATGCTGGGTAGTAGGACTCGATACATTCTTAAAAGATGTCTTAAATAGTGAGAACCTGAAGAAAATTTTTGCTCAGCACGCTCACAGAAACGACAGTCAAGGGAAACTATATATGACTATGGACGACTTCATTCATTCATGCTTACACGATGAGCAAAGGGAATCACAAAATATGGAAAATGTAACAGATGATTCCACAATTGAGAACGCATACAATAGCATCTTGAGCAGCTCTGTGATGCAACTATTCAACAACAATCAGATTTTCCTATCCGATTTCTGTCTGTTCTATCTACTCATTTCAAGACCTGATCCAGAGATCGACATTGCATTTCTCTTGATGGACCGGCACAAGACGGGGTCCATCACAAAGGCTGACTTTCAGGAATATGTTTCACGGCTTCCATATTATTTTGACCCAGAGTCAGAGTTCGTCGAACGTCACTTCGGATATGGGCAGACAGTTCGAAACTATCAATTCTCTCAGTTCCTTGTCGATCTGCAAAAAGAAATGGGCCGTCAGGCTTACATCCACGAAGCCAGGCAGTTTCAAGCAGAATTCGAAGGTGAAGGGTTGTTTCTTCCAGCTGAACAGTTTGTAGAATTGTTGAAATCAACTTGCAGCTGGCGACTCCCTCCAGGTGTCGTAGATCGACTAGAGTCATTGTACTCTAAGGGACCAGTAGAGTCCGCGGAATCCACGGCCATTGCTTCTGTACGAGCTGGCAAAATCAAAGGGGACTCAGTTCATCAAGTGAAGGAGTACTCAAAAAAATCTATTCTATGTGATTTCGAACAGAAGCGACTAAAACTTGGTACACGATACTTCACATATTTGGACTACACTGCTTTTCAAGAAGTCCTCGGGGTGCTTCCTGGAATCTACAATCTGATCGACCGAGCATGCAAAATCAAGAACGGACCAATTTCTCCTGATGATTTCAAGGTGGCAAATCGAGTACTTGGGCTTGGGGGTCGGTTAAGCCGTCGTCAAGTGGATATCATATTTCAATTATTTGATTTAGATCGTGATGGTTATGTGTCTGCAGAGGATGTCTTTGGTGTTTGTGGCATTGAATATGCCTATCGACTTGAAGCAGGAGTTGGTCGTGGAGGAAAGTCCACATTTGCTCCTCCACCAAAATATAATAGCACCGCTGAAGTCCTTCGAGGTGGATCGGAGTCAGAAGAATTTGATCGAGAGCCGCAACCCGGAACGAAGGCAGAACAACCTGAGCATATCGTGGAATCTATCTTGAATCACGTGACGCATTTCTTGTTATCTTCAGTGGCAGGCGGAATTGGCATTGCCACTGTGTATCGTGAGTCAAAGAGTCAATGCCACTTTGTCGTTTACATCGCTTTAACTATAATGAATGTTTCTGATACGCAGCCTTGGACTTGGTGAAAACACGGATGATGAATCAAAGAATATCTGCAGATAGCAAACGAATTTACTTGAGTTCTTTCGATTGTTTAATGAAAGTTCTCCGTTTTGAAGGCATTGGCGGGCTCTACCGAGGTTTACTCCCACCTTTCATGGCTGTAGGGCCTGAGAAGTTCATCAAGTTTACCGTCAACGACTTGTTGAAAGGGCTTTCCAATAGCCGTGAGAAAGCCCATTGGTCTATGGAAATGGTCAGTGGTGCTTGCGCCGGCGCTTGTCAGCTATTGGTTACGAATCCATCGGAAATCACAAAGATTAGGCTGCAGATGCAAGGAGAGTCGATGAGACTGTTCAGGGAAAATGGTTTCCGTGCGCCGAGGGCGCTTTCGTTCTCCGAGGTGGCAGCTGATCTGGGCTTTTCTGGTTTGTACAAAGGAGCTCAAGCTTGTCTACTTCGAGATATTCCTTTTGGTGCTATCTACTTCCGTACGTTATTTCTTCCACCCTTGTGTTAAAGTCTGACCTGCTTTCTCACTTTATATTTTCTCAGCTGCATATGCTGTATGCAAGGATTACCTTGCAGATCTAGAGGGCACACAAGGTTCTGTTTCAGCATCACAAATTCTTTTGGCCGGTACTCTAGCTGGAATTCCAGCCTCCTTCCTTACCACCCCAGCTGACGTTGTGAAGACCCGACTTCAAGTGACTCCTCGTCCCGGCGACTCAGTGTACACCGGCATTGGTGATTGCGTTAGAAAGATGTACGCGACCGAAGGACCCACTGCATTCTTTAAGGGAAGCTTGTTTCGCTGCGCCCGGATCTCGCCGCAGTTTGGAATTTCTTTGCTCTGTTACGAACATTTGTCGAAGTTCTTTGGAAAACATCAAGCCCACTTGAAACCTCCTACGAACGCCCCTATTGACCCTCGGGACTACAGGAGGGCTTTCAACCTTCAAAACCTAGGGGAGAAAAGTGGCGATATTGATAATCTTGTGAAAACACTGAACATGGGTTTTCGAAGTCCAAAGAAGCCAGAAGGTTGATAGAGTCTGCAAATGTGGGAAAACAGACATAATCAAGACACTGACCGCTTTGGTGAATATGTAGACAAGTGAGTCAGAGGACTGCTGGGTTGGGAGGGTGGGTCAGTTCCCACAAAACACTTTAAGACCGGCGCACATGCAAGGTACAATAGTAAGCAAAGCTGCACACAGGGAAAGAAGCGACCGGCCACTTTGCAGATTAGCGGTTTAAGATCTATCATTGCTTCTTGATATGGAAATCATCTTTTCTTAGTTTTCTTGCCTGTTAACGCACTCCACATTCCACTATTCTTCTTTGACTTTTCAGCTACATCCTGACCATTTATCGGCGGAGACTTGCCTCTACTTTTCTGGTTAATTTGTTTGTCAAATTTCTTGTCTTTCTTCATCAACTTCTTGGAAGATTTTTTTTTCGGTTTCTGTTCCTTCTGTGGTGACTCCTCGTCATCCTCGACAATCTGTGTGAGACGCATTTGGTCTATTTCATGTTGCAAACGGCTTTCTGCAATTGCCCTATTCAAGTCGAGCCTTTCTTGCTCTGCTGGATCAATCGTCTCCTTTTTTATGCGACCCACCTGTGACTGGCGTGAGTGTTGGAGAGTCGCAGCATATACCATGTCTTGCCAGTTGTCTTCTTCATCATCGTTTTCGTCTATGAAGCCGTTCAATAGGTTTGAGAGTCCGCTGCGTGCTTCGCCAGAAGACCTGTCATTTCCCGCTTGCCCTGGCAGGCGTTGTGCTAGTAGGTACTGTTCGCGAGCATTCTTAGGACGGTTGCTGGAAGACGATTCCAAATAGAGCGATTCCAGATCTGACATTGCTGAGAGTCCGGACACGACGCTGTCTTCATCCCCTGTACTTGAATGCGATGGACCATATTGGTGCATTGCGGAATATGCTGGAGGACCTCTGAAAGTGTGTGGAGGACGAGGACGAAGCGTGTCAGGTCGTGACTCGGCTTCGTCATCTTCTAGTCCAGGTCTTCGAAAGGGTGCCATTATATGTTTTTTGCTGCGTTGTTGCTGCTGTTGCGGCTTATATTGTCTCGGAAGTGCAGCACTATCTGGATTGTGTAGAAGTTATTCACGACTCCTCGACTACCCAGTCAAGTCTCCGGGTTATGAGAAATACAAGTCTCACAAGTCAGTCCTTCTACTCCACAAAGACGTCTGTTCTCATCACCGAGTCGAATGTGCATTCACTCTTAAGAAACATCATTTGCGTTGTGATTGCTTGACTGTACGTGCCGGTGCAGGAAGGAGGGACACCATTTTCTAGAACTGGAAGTAGACTTTACTGACAGATCGCCACGAAATAGATGTCGTTCGCTTCTATCTCACGAGGGCTTGGCCGATTTGCCTTGAATAATGCAAATACAGTTCAAAGTCTTGCTCCCTATGTGATAGGTTCCACCGCCCTTGGAGCCCGAACATTTGCAAGCAAAAAGGTATGACAAAATTCAAGTTTTGTTGCTATCCAATCCAAATAATTCCGATATAATTGATTTACTTTTGAATTTGCAGAAAAAGAACCTCCTCAAGCATGCTAAGGGATTCCGTGGAAGATCGAAGAACTGCTTTCGAGTTGCTATCCGACGAGTTCACAAATCTTGGCAGTACTCATATCGCGACCGGCGAAGGAAGAAACGCGAATGGCACAAATTGTGGATCCAACGTATATCGGCTGGTGTAAGGCAATACTCATGGAGATACTCGGAATTCTTCAACCACTATAGAAAATCAGATCTACAGATGGATCGGAAGATTCTTGCAGAATTGGCTGCAAATGAGCCATTTGCGTTCCGCTCAGTTTTGCAAGTAGTTGAACACCAAAAGATGAGCAAATAGGCCAGAGAAATAATGGATAGCTAAGAGATGAGTTGTTACATGATGCTGATTATCCGATTGCTATGTATCATTCTGTCGTATACCCGTTACAGTTCTGAAGCACAGTTCCAAGCTGGCTCTCTTCTTGGCTGGTAGTGTTCTATCGTATATGCTGATTGACTGTCGTAGGTCATTGAATCGTCGTCATCTGTTTCGTCTTCGTCTCTTCCACCATGGTGGTTTTGTGAATGTGGTTGCACAACTTCATGGCCTTGTTGATCATAGGTCCGTTCCGCATCAGCAAACTGGGCTTGCTCTTCCGGAGAAAAGGGAAGCTCCATTACTGGCTGGTGCATGTAATGTTGATCCATTAGCTCTTGGTCTACCTGCCCATGTGTTTCACCTGTAATATGAGTGATTGGCTGCAGCATGTAATTACTCCCTACAGGGAGCTCTGGTCTGCACCGAGGACTACGGACCCCAAGAAACTCAAATTCTGGAATACCTGCACCATCTTGAAAATCATCCAAGACGATAACCCCATCTCTCACCTCGTAGCTGATGTTGTCGTCTCGTTGTCCATAAACCCCACTTTGACTGTTGCGATGGTCACTTTCACGAGCTTCGTTCTGATACTGCTTGGAGAGTGCTGCGTTTCGTAAGAATTTCGATTTCAGCTTCCTATGTTTCAGCTTGTACCCTTGTTTGAGTTGCAGCATCTCACCGCGCATGTCTTCTTGGGCACTTTTCAAGCTTTTGTTCTGCTGATAGATCTTGTTGAGTCGCTTCTTCAACTTTTTTGCTTCCCTTGAAGGTCCAAAGGAGTCACTATCAGACTCGTCTGTTTGTGGATCAATTTTTGAAGTCACCTTGTGAGAGTTTCGGGGTGGTAAAGGACGGCGCTCTAGTATATCTACTGGGCACATCCACCACTCTTCCATTTCATTTCGGAAGGTTTCCATTTGTTCCTGGTTATGTCGTCCACCTGAAAGTTTCGGTTTCCTTGTCTCGTTCCCGCTTCGTTCTATTTTGCAATTGTGTGCGTCCGCTTGTTGACGAGGTTCTGGGGCTTGTTCTTCTTTTGTCTTGCCTTCGCGATCTTCAAACTGCCACTTAGATGATTCGTCTGTTTGGTGCCGACTATCTTGAACTTTTTCTTCTAAGATTTGAACTTGTGCTTCCCTTCGTGTTTGCTGAAGCTTTCTAAGTTCTCGAATTCTCTTGGCTCCGGACACTCCATTGTCCAGCAAATTTTTGGGCTTTGGAATAGCAGCAGTAATAGCCGTCGTTTTAAGTGGAAGACGAAGAGAGTCTCTAATTTCCTCGTTGTCAACAACTAGTCGTTTCCTATTGGAAAACGACGAAGTTATTCCTGTACTCTTCGGAGTGAATTTCGTTCGTTGTCGACTTATCTGTTCAACCCCATGACATTCGTTTGGTCTTGTGAATCGCAAATATGGGTTCCCAGCCGTTCTCGAGTTAGAAAGCTCGAATTCAACGTCTACTTCAGAGAAAATATTGAGTGGTTTATCTTCGAACTGCTGCTGCTCTCTATGTTGGCGCAGAGTGCGGAGGTCGTTCAAGACCTTTTCTGTTAATGCAGTCTCATCATCCGGGATTTCCTCACTCTTCTTTTCAGCAAGATTCATCAGTTCCATATTTTTCAGTACTAAATGTTCCAGCATGTTGTCGTATTCTGCAAAAATCTCGAGAACGTCGCTTAGATCTTGTTCGTGTTCCCTTCCGCCATCCTGACTGCTGTAATAATCTGTTTGGCGATTCCTTCTTCGTCGCGAGGCTTCCTGCCAACGAATTTCTTTCTCTCGGTCAATTTTTCTCCGTCGTTCAATCCGATCCATAACAGCTTGCAGGTGAGGTGATCGACGGAAGCCATGCTCGGTAATTCTAGGATTAGAGGACATCAGAGGGGGTTTTGGTCGTTGATGCTGCTTGCTCTTTTCCTTTTCCTTTTCCTTCGGCATAAGCAGCAGCCTATTTCGCCTACCGTACACTTTTCCATTTAAATCGTTACTTTTCCCACTCATTTTTTTCTCATTCTCCTTTAATTTCAAGCTTGACGTTGGTGATTGCTTCTCAACGGGATGATGGCATACATGTAGATATGCGAGATGCGAGATGCGTTGAAACGGAAATGTGACAAAATGCATCGCCGAGAGCCCGCCGGCTAAGATAAACGACGTCGGCCAGACTGCGACCAGGTTTCATGAAGGACCATCACCATCATTGATCATCATTACAGTACCAGTACCGGTACCGGTACACAAAACAAATACGAAGAATGAGTAAAGAGCAGAAGAAAGACGACAGCAAAAAGAAGAAACGAGTAGTTGTGAGTCCGCCATGCCCTGCATCTGTTTCCACGGGCTATGTGATTATCCGTGGAGTCCTTCAGGGATTGGTTGGAGCTAGTATGGACGAAGCAGCTGTCAGTTTGATGCAACCAACCTTTATCAAGGAGAAAGCTCCGACTGGTAAATTTTCCATGAACCTGGGGAAGAAACTGGGATCTTGTGAATTGGATCTCCCAGAGACAAGTGAAGGGAAAAATGCGCTCTGGGAAGCATTGGACGCTGCTCTAGTCAGAGTCATTTCAGAGAACAAACCAATATCATGTTTTTCTCTGCCGAAGGATGAGGCCTTGAGCAAATATGGTTCCGGAATTCTGAATGGTGGTATTTCAAAGAAGATTCCTGACACATTGACATTGGCATCAATTGATGGAATCGTCCTTTGTGTCCCCCCAAGTGTCCCGTTCGCAACCACAGGTAGCATCAAAAAGGTTTCCATTGATTTGAAGCAATCTGGAATCACCTGTGGCAAGAAAGCTCGCAAGGCAGAAGTTTCCATTAAATTCAATGTCGACGAACAGGGTGATGAGCAAATGGTATCAAGCTGCACTGACAGACCAGTAGATGATGCAGCAATCCAAAGCCTAAGAGCGAATAAGATTGGCGTTCTGGAGGGAAAATCCCTTGTGACTGCTGCCGAAGAGGAAAAACCACCTGTCAACGAGGGAACGAGAAGCACCGAACAAAAGGACGAAGAAATGGTAGTGAATGCTTGGGAAGTGAAGGGAAAGATCGATTATAACAAGCTTGTGGATCAGTTCGGATCTACTCTCATTGATAAGAACCTCATGACAAGAATTGAAGCAGCAACTGTCGGCAAAGGCAACATTGATAAGATTCACCGATTTCTGAGACGTGGCATTTTCTTCTCACATCGTGATATGAATGGAATACTGGACAATATTGAAAAGGGGCAGCCGATGTATCTATACACCGGTCGAGGCCCATCCTCATCGGCCATGCATCTGGGTCATTTGGTCCCTTTCCTATTTACAAAGTGGTTGCAGGATGCTTTCAAGGTTCCACTTGTAATCCAGATGACTGATGATGAAAAGTTTTTGTTCAAAGGAGAATTCACCGCCGAAAATGGTGACAACTTGGACCACTATGCTAGTTTGACACTAGAGAATGCTCGTGATATTATTGCCTGCGAGTTTGACTACGAGAAGACTTTCATCTTCTCCGACTTGGACTACGTTGGACGAATGTATCCCAACATTGTTCGAATCTGGAAGGCTGTGACAACAAACACTGTGAACGGTATCTTCGGATTTGATGGAAGTTCCAACATTGGTAAAATTGCTTTTCCCGCTATTCAAGCGGCGCCGTCGTTTGCTTCCAGTTTCCCTGTTGTGTTGGGTGGTACACGCGATTCTAGAGACTGTTGTTTGATTCCATGCGCCATTGATCAAGATCCGTACTTCCGGATGACGAGAGATGTTGCCCACAAGATGGTATCCGGAGATCACGGTCTTGGAGGGAAACCATCGCTTATCCACTCGAAATTTTTTCCACCGCTCCAAGGTGCCACCGGGAAAATGAGCAGTTCTGATTCCAATTCTGCCATCTTCTTGACGGACACCCCAGAGGAGATTGAGCGAAAAATCAAGTCGTTTGCATTTTCCGGTGGGCAAGAGACAAAGAAACTCCAAGAAGAACACGGTGCCAACTTGGATCTTGACGTGAGTTATCAGTGGTTGAGGTTTTTCTTGGAGGACGACGAGCTCTTGGAAAAGATTGGAAAGGACTACGGCTCTGGTAGTGGGGAATATTGGAGCACCGGAAAGGTAAAAGCCAAGCTCATCGAAGTTTTGAAGGAACTGGTTGCAGCTCACCAAGAGCGAAGATCCAAGATTACTGACGAAGAAGTTAAAAAATGGATGACGGAGCGTTGTATTGCCATCGCCAAGTAGTGCTCATCATCACCGAATAATAAATCATACCTGGAATCAATAGGATCTAATATTTTAACACTCACTTTCAGCATCTATCCTTGCTTTCAGGTGATAATTGGCAATCGACAACAGCCGTCTGTCATACTCCGAGACTGAATTAATTGAGCTACAAGCTACACTCGTACGCAGAACAAGTACTAGTATTGTATTCAGTCCTACGTAGATCGTGATGCCGCCAAACAGGGTCTGCACTGCGAAACATCAACAAAGTGCGCCAGAAACAATCAGCTGAGTGCTGTGCAGCTGCAAGAGAGTTTAAAAAACTGGAAACCACCCGAAAATCGAACGAAACATACCCTACCGGTACAGCTCTGTGATTCTGAAACCAAAAGTAGAAAGGGAAGAACTTGAGATAGATATATTCAACCATGCGTTGGGCAGACTCAGACAGTTCGGATGAGGAAGAGGCGTACGAGCCACCGCCCCCAGGCGAGGCGGATCCAATACAACCAGAAGAGCCTTGTGAAGAACGCTTTCCTCCGACGCCGAAGCACGCGAATGTAACCCAACCACCAATGAATCGGCAGAGGCGGGGGGGGGACAATCAGCACGACGATAATCGTGGGAACCGAGGATACAGTAGCAACGACAACTACAATAATAATCGTGGTGGAGGTGGAGGTGGAGGTGGACGACAGAAGCAGCAGCAACAACAGCAAAGTAAGGTACGCGATTGGAAACACATGGCAAAGGAGCAATCGGTTATTGGAACTGGTCCTGTCGATGGAAGTGGCTGGATGGCGAAGCGACGGGCAAAACAGGAACAGGAAGAAAAGGAATTCCGGGCAAAAAAAGAGCAATTGCAACAGCAAAAGGTGCAGGAAAAGAAAGAAAAGAGGAAAATCCAGCTAAATGCTCTTGCTTCCGTCTTGAATGAAATAAATGACCCCGACAAACCACCATCGTCTCCACCGCGACAACTTCGATCGGGTCTGTTTGGACAAAGCGTTCCCAAAAAGCAGCCGCCAACGAAAATCCTCGCTCGTGATAGTCTTGGCAAACATAATAAAGGGAACGGGGATCGAGCGCAAAAGAGACCGCCAAAACCACCAGCCTACAATTACACAATTGGACCGGCGGATAACAAGCCAAAAGGCGAACTACAAACAGATGGCACGGTGAAGTTTACGAGAAAAGATAACAAAAAGAACGAGATGAGGGAAAAGGAGAAGGACAGCAGCGCCAACGAGACAAACGATTCCAAAACTGCCACACCAGAAGCGACTGGCCAGCGAGTCGTAGAATTTTCTGGTTCCTTCAATCGAGAAGATGACGACAAGTCCTTGACCTCCTTGACTTCCAAGGGCTCGAGGGCATCTCGGAACTCCAAGAGTTCGAAAAACTCCAAAAGCTCCCAACCAAGTCATAACAAAAAGAATAGAAATAGCCGATGGGGTGGCCGGGGCGATTCACGTGGTGGTGGACGTGGACGTGGAAGAGGTAGCCAAAAAGGATCCAACGACGAAAGCTCGGTGGATGGCTGCAAAGCAGGGGGGAAGAACAACAAGAACAAGAACAGCAACAGTAACCATAGAGGCGGGAGAGGCAGGGGGCGAGGAGGTCGGGGTCGAGACAGAGCCGATGGCGAACGAGGAAGGGGGGGTGGTAGAAACCACAGCTACGAGATAGGACGAGACTAATATAGCAATGGGGAACATTACAATGGAGGTGTCTGGTTGTCATGATACATTTTGCGAGTGAAATTCCGAAATATTTTTTAACAATTTCCGAGCTTATTAATAGCAGCTACTTGAGTGCGCCTACAAGTGTCGAATGAACTGAACCCCAAACACTGACACTTAGTCTTGATCAATACCCTCTTGGTAATGCTTGCTGCCGTTGATGTTTAACCCCGAAAAGATCAAGATAAATTATTTTGCCTTCACTGCGGCTTTGAGTAGACGTGTCTTCTCCTTCTCTTCTTTCTGAAGCGCATATTTTTCACGTTGACGCTCACGACAACGCAGGCATTTTGTAGCGAGTCCTTTATCCCCAAAGGCAGCCCACGGTCGGAAGTTTTTGCACCCCTTACACCACTTGATTTCAAGACCTGAGTTGCACACGACCCACACATTAACGTCGCATAGGGTGCACAATCCTTTGTTTTGAGTTGGAATGATTGCATAAGATTTGTCTCCCATACCATCGGATTTCTTGCTTCCGTTTTTTTTCTTGCCCCCATTGCATGGGCGGGCCTGACCACACATGACGCAGCATCTCATACCCTCTGGAAGATTCACAGCTTGCTTCTGAGACATGTGAGATGGGAAGTTCACAAGGCTTGTAAATTCAGGAACTGTCGCATTCTTCATTTCTTCCATATCGCCTTGGAACTTGGATGGAATTGGTGGTTTGAGTGAGAGACACTTGCGTTTGGATTGGGACATATCAACGGCTGGTGACATATGAGCATGAGGACTATGCATAGGAGGTGCCATACTGCTAGGATGATGGGGGCTCCACATCGATGTCTTTAGACCAATCCCCATTGGTGAAGTTAGGGGATGGTGGGAAGCCATTGATGGAGGAATATGAAGCGGTATTGGAGCAAGGTGAGCACCTGGTGGCATACGTCCGCGTAGATTTCGGACCCGGTCATTGTGTGCTCCTGGAGTAGGATGTCCAAACCAGTCTCTTCGATCACCATGCATTGGACTGCGTGCAAACGATGTGGGAAAGTGAGGAGTTGGTGGTTTTGATCCTGTGAACACAGGTGTCGGAGGTGTTGGTCCATTCCACATGTAGGAGCTAGGAGTCGCGTTCGGCTTGTGTGCGTATCCATGTTGACGCATTGCATCTTGCTTTGATCTTTTGTCATCCGAATGAATGTTCTCTCGTTCCTCAGAAGTTTCGAAGTTCCAAGGAAGTGGAGTGGACGTGCCGTCCACTGCGATTGCAATTTCGGAATGAGGCGATAGCATTGAAATATGGACAGAGTCGCTATCTTTGCCATCGTCACCTTTTTGATGGTGTTCAGAGTCTTGTTCATCCTTGAATAGGGAAAAATTATGGGGGCTGATTACAAGATTCCTTGATGAAGTCGAAAAATGAGATGTTGTCGAATCAGGTCGCTTCTTCTCATCCCTGTCTTCCTCCCAACTACAGTTGGCTAAGTCATCCAGCGAAGGCGTGTCGCCAGCAATACTCCAAGATAGCTGTTGGCCAATGGAGGGAAAAGCATTTGATGGAGAGATTCCATTTGAATCAACGACATGTGGTAGTGGAGTGAAAGATTGACCGCGTAGATGCTTGTTCAGCATATGTTCATCAGTCATCATTTCAGTATCACCTCTTAGCCCTGTTGTTGCTGGAGTGTCGGCTGAACCGTCGTGCAGGGCGGTCTTTGGATCTACAGCACCGTGGTCTGTTTCTACTTCAGATTCGCCTTGTTTGACGTCGGATGATATTTTCGACTTTTGATTGGCCGCTGGGCTCTCCATTCTTGTTTGATTAATAGGTGATGTCGATAGGGAAAATAAAATGTTGCCTTGGGTCATGTCGCCAGACTTTGAAGAGCTTGAGGAGTCGTTCATTGTGAGTTGTTGAAATTTTGAAGAGTCGATTCCTACACCGCTCTTCTTCTTAAAGATTGATTTGATATTTGAACCAGTTTCAATCGTCAAATGCTCGGCCTTTCGCCTCTTGGGAGATGCCTTCATCAAGGAAGTTTCGTGATTCCTGGCTGAAAAACATCAAGGAATAAGACTTACGCTAGGCATTGAACGATCAATAAAACGATCAATAAAGCACCTTGACTTACATTTTGGTCCTTCATACGACGAAGACAAAGAAAAACCTTCGACACTCACACTTGACGTTGTTGATGTATTTGAGAAATTTCTGTGAATCATGCATTCATCATCAAGCTTTTCGACTCTTTCGCGCTTGTATGGTGACTCGTCTCCAAGTGTACGGGATTCTGGGATATTCGGCGCTGTTCCAACTGTGCTTGCGCTCACATTGCTGTTGGTACGACAAAAAGTGTATGCGACAGGAGGAAGTGAATCTTTGTTGCTGTGAACCCCTTCAATCGTTCGCTTCTTTCGCGACGATTTGTTCGATCTCTTGCTTCTCGATGAGGTGATGGAAGCAGAGTCAGAAGTGGTAGACGGCATCAAATGATGAGTGTGTCTTGACGGAGGGTACGGTGGGGGGGCTCCATGGTAGCCGATCGATTGTAGGCCAAAAGGCATTCCATATCCTGGATGGTATGGAGGAGGACCTGGGCGTCCTGCCAAGTTCGGCGCATAGTGTCCATGATGCACAGGGTACTGTCCCGGATGTGGCATAGGAGGCATTTGATGTGGATAATGCGGTGGAGGATGTCCATGGTAATCGTGTGGTGCACTTGCTGGAAAGTATGGTGGAGGATAAGGAGCTGATGGTTGGGATGGTCCCCTCATGCTTGGATGGTATGATGCATGTCCTTGTTGATGGTAGGTTGAGTAGCCTGACATCTGTGGCGACCATGATCCCTTTTGCTTTCGTGATGGGGCGGACTTTGTTTGCATCTTTTTCATGTTTGCCTCAGACTTGTCTCTGCTCTCTCCCGCCTCCCTCATGTTGGAGGAATCATCACGAGTTTCATCCTTGACGACTCCATTCTCGACCTTAACAACTGATTTCTCTATTTCTTCTGGCTTTGTCATAATTTTTGACAATTTCGATGTAGCAATAATCGAACATGTATTGACAAAGAAGGAATTGTATCAAGCTATGAATCCTTTCAAGAAACTGAGATTTTCGTTGTTTTTGTGAGGGACGTTGTTCATTTATGATCAACGACAAATGCAATGTACCGAGCGTACGAGAGTTTCTACAGAAATAGACTCGGCTCGTGACGCGCCCGTCGTGCCGCCACCGTTGGAAAAATATCAGCTTTGGGGGATTCAAAGGGAGGTACATATGGGGGAAGGATCCTCCTTTTTGCAATAGAATACGGTTTCATAGTGATGGCGGCAACGGTGCGGTGCTGTGACATGAATGAATGGATTTGGACCTATCAAAGTACTTTCACGCTAAACATGAATTGGATGAACGAAGTGCAGACGACGATATTCAAATACCCAAACCTCACCACGATGACAATTCAACTCTACACCACTGGCTTAGAATTAGATCAATTTTTGTAGTCGAATGTTAATATATTGTATTCTGCCTTGTTGTGGATGTCATGAGAGGAGGTTGTTGCCTAGATACAACTGGAAACCTGGTCATTCATACTCCTGATGATAGGGCAACAAGCAACAATGCACACCAATCATTCAGCCATGATCTGTAGGTTTTCGTCATATTTGATTTGCCAGGCGGGTTGTCACATTCCTCATTACTCTTCCATGTATCATCTTTGAGCGCCATTTTGAGGAAGCATGCTGGCTTGTAGGTATCAATCATTGGAGAATTGTCGCCAAGCAATTGCTGCTGCTACCCCTGAAACCTTGTATTGCATCAGCTACAGTTGCAAGTGCCTTCATATGTTGTGCATTCTTGGTATCTCACACAATTCCCCTGAAAGCTCCACAGTTCTGATTTCTTTCACTCTGCTCAGTTGATGACAGGCAGCGCCCATGCTGATTTGCAAGGCAAATAGAAGATTGACAAAACAACCTCATTCCATTTGCTGGCAAGAGTTTGCATCCATCCGCTTCGTCGTTTGGAAATCTCAGATATTCTCATTTCTTTTAGTCTGCACAGTGGACGGCAGCGCTCATGCCAATCTTCGAAGCCAATGAGCAAGGAGATAGCAAGACAATATTATTCCCCTTGCGCGCAACACCGACTCCAGTAGTATCCACCTTGTTCGTTTCAGCCCCCACAGCGGTAGATTGTTGGCGAAACGTATGTTTCTTCCTCTGCTTCAGTTCATATCTTGTCTTCTTCTTCATTTGATGGACAAAAAGGTATCCTTGCAAGGATAGAGGGGCTGGAGAAAGAGAATGCATCCCTGAAACAAGAGATGGCTGAGTTGGAATCAAGTGTGACAACTCAACAAGAGCGCAGGGTACCACTCCCACCATTGATCTTGGATTCCTAGTTGAGTCTTCAGGAGCGATTGGCCAACTGGGAACTGAATACTCAGAAGGGTAAAGTCAGCATGGCAGGTTGTGAGTTTGGCGGAGTCCAGGATTGCAAGCGTTTCTTGCATACCAGGATGGATTTGGACGGCTCATCAGTGTGATTTGTTGGGCATGATGTGGTGTCGTTGGTTAACTGTGTGACAAAGGAAGGGAAAGCATCAGCCATTGATGATGTACTAGCCCGAGATCATCACGCAATCAGAGGGGGCTTTGATAACATGCTGATGGCGTCTGTTTATGCATCCATGCAAAAGGCCATCCCAATACCCCTAGCTGGTACCAGCAGCCGTCACTCTTTACCAAGGATCAGTAGTTTTGAGAAATGGGACAGACAGTATGGCAGACAAGGAATTCAGTTCGAGATATCTCAAGGAGTGGACCAAGAGGTCTCGAAAACTATTGGTTGGCTGATCAGACCAATGAGCCCCCATAATCAGGATGCCTTGGCGGTCTTAACCGCCCTCACTATGGATGCAAGGAACCATTGGTTGGCTATTGCCAATTTCCTCACAAGTCAAAGGACAATTTGCCTGGGGCAGTGTGAAGATGCAGAAGAGGCGTGGAGGTTCCCATGCAAAGTCATAAAAGCTGTATTTGTGGAACTGCATAGGGTTCGGAGTATGGGTTTGATGAGACCTAGTTTGAAGAAGTTATCAATACATGATGCTGCAAAGATGATGTGGGGTATACTACGATGCCACAAACTCATGAACGAGTTTAATAGTCACAAATTTTTGGGACATCCGAAACCCTTGATTTTCTCATTGAATCATTTGTCTCGTCTCAAAGTGAGCCTGAAGGATCTACAACCAATGAAACAACAGGCAGACCAGCTTCAGTTGGAAATGGGTGCTATGCTGGAGGAACTCGACAAGAAGGAGGATAAACTAGGGGACAATGATGTCGTTTGAGTGTATCTGGAGTTTGGAGATCATGCTGGAGGAATCGACAATTTGGAGATTGGAGATGGAGATGTCAGCGAGCCACGCGGCAGAAATCAGGATGAGCCTTCCAACAATTTGTGAATGCTCGTTCTCGTTCTGAACCCTCTCAAGCTTTTCCCGTGGAGTTTGAAGGTTCCAAGACCGGAACATGAAGTGATTAGATCGGGGGGGGGGGGGGGGGGGTTG